CCTTTTGCTTTCTGTTTACCTGTGAACGCACTATCAACTGCAAGAAACGGTTCTCTATATAACATGCACTTTTCAAAAAGGACAGCGGGGTTTGACAAATTTTCATAAGTTCATATTTACTGTGTTGAGGTTCATAACTCCTTGAACAAACATTTTTCTACCCTTTATACAGTCGAATGACAGTTTCAAAGGGTGTCTGAGTAGTCTGTCGCAGAAGTGTCAGCTTCTCAGCTAATGCGATGGGTTGTGAACTTTGCTCTAAATGGACTCACTGACTCTGTGATTCCAGCCAGCCATCTGGTTATTATGAGGCACTGCTTAATAGCCCTTTTGATGGTGATTGGTATTTTTGTCCATGTTGTAGGTCCAAAAGTAAGTGCTAAATAGGCCTAGAGCTAGTGAGATAGAACTCCGACCACATTACGACCACTACACAAACTAGCCTCAATCTAAAGAAGTTTCATGGCCATAAAAAGATCCCTCAAGTTGTCAGTAAGGGAGGTAGTGAATTCATCACTGTCACCGACTGTCTCCCCGTTAGCATCCTTTGGAACAGGCCCCCTCAGTGATGAACGAGAATCTCATACCCGATAAGCGCCGAGAGAAAGGTCTGAAGAAATGTAGGCGGGTCAGTTCAGTCAAAAATGGAACATCAAGTTACCATCGTAAGTCTGAAAGAGTAACGACTACTCAGCCTAATGAGAAGCCGAACCATAAGCTGAACACTGCCCCTCCTACTGAGGCGAAAAACGTTCCGAAAAAAGCAGATCTTGATCCCACCACCTGTAACTCAGGGCGGAAGCCACCTGCACTTCACTGTCATCTCCGTTCAATCATCAGGAAAACTCCCACAGCTGGCACCTCAGGTCATCCGAGTCACTCGCAAAAGGCTCATCAGAAATCTGAGTCTGTATTCACAGGTTGGAATAGGCTCCAAGAGAAAGACCATAACCTTATTCTTAGATCGCCCATACCGATCAACACTCAGGGAAGTGGCTCCTTCCTATTTACCGATGGTGATGAACATGACCTTGACCAATGGAGGAGTGTTTGCAAACTCCTAGGAACCTCTCCTTGCAGTCCATCTCTTCAACGCCTAGCGTGTAGTAAGTTCCCATCCAAAGGCTCTCCCAGATCTTCAGGAGTATCTCTTGATAGTACACGTCGGTCGAACACATCCTTCTGAAAGGTCATCAGCTGGTGAAACGTAAACTGTCTGACGTCAGGATTAGGCCTGATAGACCCTGGTCAGTGCGATAACTTCTTCGCAACGGCAAGAAGATTCACCCTCAAGGGTTATGCTGCTCGGTAATTATACACTGGATTCCCGAATGTTCGGGTACCGATACTACCGAGCTTATCCACGGCATAAATCAGTGGAGATATATTGTCAGCAGATCCCAAACCGATGTGAGGGCCGAATGAATTGATCATCTTCCAAGGCCGGCTCACTTCTCGACTATACTTACTCCTAGGCTACTTCAAGTAACCCTTGACTCTCCGGGTATGATTGGAACTACCTTGGAATCCTGGTTTAATGTATCTGATACATTCCCTAGAGAAATAAGGATCAGTGAGTGCAGACCCAGGGAACAAAGGCAGACTGAGAGGCGATTCAAGTGCTTACCGTTGGCTAACGCACACCTAACGACAGAACGGTTGGACGATGAACAAGAGTATTTATCGACCCTGTCCCAGATCGAAGAACCCTGCACCAGTTCTCAGTCAAAGATGTCACTGGATACAGCGGCCCTTGGTTCCACCGCCCTTTCAAAAAACCTGTCAAAGCCGGCCATTTAAAGGCTGGCAACTCATGCTTAACTCAACCGGTTTCTGGGACCTCCGGCCCTCATACTCTTATTCGCTGTACCTTCAGCAATGTACGAGGCCTACGCTCCAAGGTACCTGAGTTAAGGTTATTAGTGGATGAGGAAAGTCATAGCATTATGGCTTTCTGTGAAACATCGCTATCAGAAAACACAAAAGACGAGGAAGTTCGTTTAGGACAGCTCAGCCTAATCCAAGAGGATAGACCGGAGGGTCCAGGAGGTGGCGTTGCCCTTTACACCTGCCCTTCCTTAAAAGTCCATGAGATTCAGTCTCATAGAATTGGCATTAAAGATGTCCTCTGGTGACGTATTAAGTGCTGCGGAGGTCCGTGTTTAGTTGGAGTTTTATACCACCCTCCTGCAGCTGATGCCACTCTAAATAAAATGTTAACACAGTCCATTAGAGGAGCCCTGGAACTGAACTTCCCACAGGTCCTCATTATGGGAGATTTTAACTTTCCTGAACTCTTTACCACAGAAAATCCATCTACTGCTCTAAAAGACATTCAGGAATTGTTACTAGAAAACTCCTTGATAGAACATGTTTCCCAATGTACTCGCTGGGGGGCTGACGGTGAGGCATCTCGACTAGATTGTATTTTCACAAATCAGTTCATTGGGGTAAGCAACTTGAATGTTTCAGCCCTCTTGGCCTAAGTGACCATGTAGTCATCTCCTTCAATATTTCTGTATCTAAGCCACCCTTTCCCGATCAGCATGTAGTTAGGAATTACAAGAGAACTGATTTCGAGAAGACTCGGCAAGATCTAGAAGGTCCCGCTTGCTTAAATTGAGATGACCTACTGGATCTTGATGCTAGATGGGTTTGTTGAAGAATGTAATCCTACAGACGATAGAAGACAACACTCCTCTGATCCCGAGAAGAACTAACAAGTTCTACTCCTCCTGGCCTAAGTCTAGCTCGCGCAAACTAACACGGCGTAAACGGTCGTCTTGGAATCTGTGGAGGTGCACTAATAGCCCTTTTAACTGGCTAAATTATAAAGATATCCGTAACAAATGTACAGTAAGGATCAGAAATGACAGAATAAGCCGCTAGACACAACTTTGTACAACCCTGGAGGGGAATCATGGGATAATGTACTCGTTGATGAAACAGAAGAGTAACAGTTCACCAAGTTTATAGGACCCCATTAGTTTGGAGATTCTCTATTCCAACTCCAAAGTTGCAAACCTACTAGCTCATGAGTTCCAAAACAACTGTCATTTGGGAGGCAAGACCTCGCCTCTGTCGGACACCCGTAGCACAGAGGGACCAAATCATGTAGAGTTTAAACCCTCTGTAATTATGGAAATATTAAGGAAACTGAACCCGAATAAATCTCCAGGTGTCGATGGTATTCACCCAAGAGCACTCAAGGAGTGTGCTGAATTCCTGTGTGCCCCACTAGCAAACCTCTTCAAATGCTCCTTTCTAGAAGGCAGGTTACCCTCTGACTGGAAACGAGTGGCTGCCGTCCCAATTTATAAAGGTGGAAACAGACTACTTGCCCCAACTACAGACCAATCTCCCTGATCTCTTCAGCTGCGAAGGTCATGGAGAGAGTCATAAATGACTCACTTCGTGTTCACTTACTTCAGAAATCAATCCTAAAGGACTGTCAGCATGGCTTTCTACCACGAAGGTCATGTAACACCATCTTGTTGATAGCCTGGAATAGCTGGACACTCTCTGTCAAGAAGAAAAAGCCTATACAAATTGGTTTACTTGACTTTCCGAAGGCCTTTGACAGGGTAAATCAGGATATCCTTTGTAAGAAACTCCAGCTCATGGGGTACACGGAAAATTATTAATCTGGCTTGGAGATTATCTGTGCACCAGGATGCAGTCAGTTAGAGTTGGCTCCTCTCCATTTGATTGGTTCCCGATGCTGAGTGATGTGCCTCAAGGTTCTATACCGAGTTCACTACTGTTTCTTGCTTTGATCAGTGATCTGCCAGGGGTCCCTAATTCACATTCACCATTATATGCCGATGATCCGTAGATTTGGGGGGAAATACAGGAGCCAACGGATATTTAGATCTTCCAGGAGGACCCTACGAAAATCCTTAATTGGACTACAGAAAACCTGCCTCCTCTCAACTCGAAGAAGTGTCGAATTATGATAGTTGACAAACATAAAGGCAGTCCGACTTCTTACTCTCTAGGTGAAATAAATACCTGTCACTCTAATGTGGAAGAAGGTCTAGGAGTTGCATTAAATGATACACTAGGAGCCTCAGTCCACTGTCGCCTTGCAGCCAATAGGGCTTATGGAATCCTGGGGTTTCTCTCGCGAACCTTAGGGTGTCTAACTCCTTCTCTTTTCACCATAGTGTATGCTCTGTACATTCATCCTCATTCGGAAAAAAATTAGCTCGTGATGTCCCCATACTTGAGAAAGGACATATCCATCCTAGAAGGGGTACAGAGAAAAGCTAGAAAGAAAGTGATTGGGTTGCAGCACAAACCGTACCCAGACCGCTTAGTTGCTCTTCAGCTGCACCTAGTACAATACCGGGGGATCAGAGGGGATATGATCAAGATGTACCACAACGCCCATAATCCCCTCCATCCCAACAGATCCCTTCTAAGCTCTAGTCGGAAACGCGACCTGAGGGGTCACCCGTTAAGAATAGAGCATGAGAGAGCACGTACAAAGATCAGTGCTAACTCATTTGCAGTTAGAGTCTGTAAACTGTGGAGTCCCCTCCCTTCAGTAGTTGTTACAGCCCCATCCCCTGATACCTTTAAAAGGAGGCTAGACGCACACCTCGAGTCCTACGGTACCGATGGGCTAACGGGAGAAGCTTTCCCCAGATCAGATGCAGTAATGCTAACTTGAGACCAGATTAACTCATTAATCGTATCTCTATCCTTTCAGGTTTTTCAGAACCGGGAAGATAACTGTGACCATTCCAAACTCAGAACGTATTCCAATAAGACAGACGTAGAACCCAAGGAACCGCAGTTCGCTAATTCTACAACACGAAGTTTGAAGTTTGAACGTCCGACGGTCCAACCAGAGCCACAGTAGACGGGTGGGTTGACGTCCTGCATTGTAACTCACTAAAAAGCTGGAGCTGTTCCAGAAAACCTAGGACTGGGTGCGAATGAGTCATTCGGTTTACACTAGCTTGCAGAAAAATATTGGATATTGGGTGTGTTTGTTTGAATACTCCTATATCGTGTTGTTGTTTCTGCTTCATTCTAGATTTTTCGACGGCGTGATACACCCGGTGAGTATGTTTCGTGCTGTCTCTTCACTTCGTCGTAATTTGGCACCAGTCAGTCAGAGATTGACGCAGAGATATTATGCAAAAGAGGTTAAGTTCGGTGCCGATGCGAGGTCGGCAATGTTGGTCGGTGTTGATATACTTGCGGACGCTGTTGCAGTTACAATGGGTCCTAAAGGCCGAAATGTGATAATTGAAAGTTCTTGGAAGTCTCCTAAGATAACTAAAGATGGTGTGACAGTGGCTAAAGGCATTGAATTAAAAGATAAGTTCCAGAATATCGGGGCCAAGCTAGTCCAGGATGTCGCTAACAACACAAATGAGGAGGCCGGTGATGGTACTACGACCGCTACGGTGTTGGCTCGAGCAATTGCCAAAGAGGGTTTCGAGAAGATCAGTAAGGGAACTAACCCCATAGAGTTCCGGAGAGGTGTGATGTCTGCTGTTGATGCGGTAGTCAAAGAGCTTAAGTCATTATCAAAGGAGATTTCAACGCCCGAAGAGATCGCACAGGTTGCAACAATATCGGCTAATGGTGACACAGCGATTGGTGATCTGATTGCCTCTGCCATGAAAAAGGTCGGGAATGATGGCACTATAACCGTCAAGGTAGGTATTTATAATGATTAGTTCCTAACGTTCAGGATGGCAAAACTCTGGAAGATGAGTTGGAGTTCATTGAGGGGATGAAATTTGATCGCGGTTATATCTCTCCTTACTTTATAAATACTGAGAAAGGAGCGCGGTGTGAGTTCCAGGACGCATTCGTGTTGTTCTCAGAAAAGAAAATCAATAATATCCAAACATTAATTCCTGCCCTTGAACTGTGCCATCAGCAGAAACGGCCACTGTTGATCATCGCTGAGGATGTTGAAGGTGAAGCACTCACAGCCTTGGTGCTTAACAGACTGAAGCTGGGCTTGCAAGTTTGTGCAGTTAAAGCTCCAGGCTTTGGAGACAACAGAAAAAACACCTTGAAGGATATGGCCATAGCCACCGGTGGAATGGTAAGTAACCTCTCAGTCGATAAAGTTGCCTTAAATCAACAAATTTATGAGTGTTTCGAACCTTTGCGTTTAGGTTTTTGGAGATGAGGCTGATATGTACAAATTGGAAGACGTTCAGCTGCAAGACTTGGGTCGTGTTTCCGAAGCCATCGTTACTAAAGAAGATTGTTTGTTGATGCGTGGTCGAGGAGACAAAGGGAACATCGACAGGCGCATAGCGCAAATTAAGGATGACATGGAGTCTTCTAATAGTGAATACGAAAAAGAAAAGATGCATGAACGCTTGGCCAAGTTGTCTAATGGTGTGGCCGTCATCAAAGTTGGGGGAAGCAGTGAGGTTGAAGTAAGCGAGAAAAAAGACAGGTACACCGATGCACTCAACGCAACCCGAGCAGCAGTTGAAGAAGGAATAGTACCTGGTGGTGGAACTGCGCTTCTCCGTTGCATTCCAGCTCTCCAAAATTTGAAAACCAAAAATGAAGATCAGCGTATAGGTAAGTCGAATTATCCGGCGTAACTCATGCTTTAGCCATGTAAACTATCCCGTAGTCAGCGTGAAGGCCACATCAGCTGGTGTCCATCGCTAGATATTTAACTGGCTGGCATTTCTCGACTTGGTAGCAGCATTTTCGGTTTGAGTGTTGCACGACTGCAAAGTCGCGTGTCAAACGGACCGTATATCACTCATCTTGCCTTTCCAGCCATGTGTACAGCAGATCTTGAGACTTGCTGTTTGGTTGTGAAGGTACATATTAACGATAGTCTGTCTAAAGGTTTGCGGTGACTAAACTGTATGTCGTCAGGCCGGACATTTCCAGTGTACTGAGTAATGCTTTGGAGACTGTACGACAGTCACCGTCTGAAGTTAAGGCTTTTGGATCAGCGTTATTTGCAAGTCGATTGCATGTGGATGATTCGACGTGATTCGTATTATGGCGAAGTGAATAGTAGTGGTTAGTATTCAGTTTGTACTGATCTTGGTGGCTCAGTGTAATGCTTTGTGTCGCGGCTCATCTCGAAGCCATGAGATACGTCTCGTGGTCAAAGTGCAGCCTATATCAGATGGTGTGTTGTATGCCAGATAGTGCTGTCTGGCCTAACCGATCCACCTATATTCGATTCTGTTTTCGGTCTGAGTGTTGCACGACTGCAAAGTCGCGTGTCAAACGGACCGTATATCACTCATCTTGCCTTTCCAGCCATGTGTACAGCAGATCTTGAGACTTGCTGTTTGGTTGTGAAGGTACATAGTAACGATGGTCTGTCTAAAGGTTTGCGGTGACTAAACTGTATGTCGTCAGGCCGGACATTTCCAGTGTACTGAGTAGTGCTTTGGAGACTGTACGACAGTCACCGTCTGAAGTTAAGGCTTTTGGATCAGCGTTATTTGCAAGTCGATTGCATGTGGATGATTCGACGTGATTCGTATTATGGCGAAGTGAATAGTAGTGGTTAGTATTCAGTTTGTACTGATCTTGGTGGCTCAGTGTAATGCTTTGTGTCGCGGCTCATCTCGAAGCCATGAGATACGTCTCGTGGTCAAAGTGCAGCCTATATCAGATGGTGTGTTGTATGCCAGATAGTGCTGTCTGGCCTAACCGATCCACCTATATTCGATTCTGTTTTCGGTCTGAGTGTTGCACGACTGCAAAGTCGCGTGTCAAACGGACCGTATATCACTCATCTTGCCTTTCCAGCCATGTGTACAGCAGATCTTGAGACTTGCTGTTTGGTTGTGAAGGTACATATTAACGATGTCTGTCTAAAGGTTTGCGGTGACTAAACTGTATGTCGTCAGGCCGGACATTTCCAGTGTACTGAGTAATGCTTTGGAGACTGTACGACAGTCACCGTCTGAAGTTAAGGCTTTTGGATCAGCGTTATTTGCAAGTCGATTGCATGTGGATGATTCGACGTGATTCGTATTATGGCGAAGTGAATAGTAGTGGTTAGTATTCAGTTTGTACTGATCTTGGTGGCTCAGTGTAATGCTTTGTGTCGCGGCTCATCTCGAAGCCATGAGATACGTCTCGTGGTCAAAGTGCAGCCTATATCAGATGGTGTGTTGTATGCCAGATAGTGCTGTCTGGCCTAACCGATCCACCTATATTCGATTCTGTTTTCGGTCTGAGTGTTGCACGACTGCAAAGTCGCGTGTCAAACGGACCGTATATCACTCATCTTGCCTTTCCAGCCATGTGTACAGCAGATCTTGAGACTTGCTGTTTGGTTGTGAAGGTACATAGTAACGATGGTCTGTCTAAAGGTTTGCGGTGACTAAACTGTATGTCGTCAGGCCGGACATTTCCAGTGTACTGAGTAATGCTTTGGAGACTGTACGACAGTCACCGTCTGAAGTTAAGGCTTTTGGATCAGCGTTATTTGCAAGTCGATTGCATGTGGATGATTCGACGTGATTCGTATTATGGCGAAGTGAATAGTAGTGGTTAGTATTCAGTTTGTACTGATCTTGGTGGCTCAGTGTAATGCTTTGTGTCGCGGCTCATCTCGAAGCCATGAGATACGTCTCGTGGTCAAAGTGCAGCCTATATCAGATGGTGTGTTGTATGCCAGATAGTGCTGTCTGGCCTAACCGATCCACCTATATTCGATTCTGTTTTCGGTCTGAGTGTTGCACGACTGCAAAGTTGCGAGACCATATAGGAACTGTCACGCCCGTCCAGTCGTGTTCACAGCAGTAGACCTGTGTAGTTGATGTAGGTTTGTCATCAGCACATAATCTTGTATTCTTAAGCGATTCATTTATTGTTGTATATCATGTTTTTTCTCTTTAGGTGTGCAGATCGTCATGCGTGCACTATCGACACCGTGCTACACGATTGCTCACAACGCTGGCGTGAATGCATCTGTGGTTGTAGAGAAGGTTATGGGGATGAGTAGAAATGGTGGCTACGATGCACAGAATGATGTATATGTGGACATGATTGAGGCTGGAATCATTGACCCAACCAAAGTGAGTTCAAGTCTGTCTTTGGGTTTGCGCTTTGTTTTCTTAGATTTCATGCCATAACGTGTTTGTTCATTAATGTTTTCTAGGTTGTTCGAACTGCTCTTGTGGATGCCGCTGGTGTTGCTTCCTTACTCACAACAGCGGAGACCGTGGTGACCGATTTACCAAAAGAAGAGACAGGTGCAAACGCTGCGGGCATGGGCGGAATGGGAGGTATGGGTGGTATGGGAGGCATGATGTAGTCGCTGTCATATATAAACATTGCATTTTACTGCTACAGTCAACGTTTTTGTGATGTAGTTGAGTAATTCGTAGGTTCTCCATCTGTTCAAAGTCCCTGATTTTCCCTAAATATATCACTGATTTCTCACTGACCGCTTCCTTTTATCCGTCCTGCTGCATTAAAGTCCGTCATTCATCGTCCTCATTCTCAGTGTCTACTATTGTTCGCACTGATCTGTTGTCTGTGGAAATCATGAGTTAGTTTGGCTTTTAAGGGGTGCACTCGTGAGTAGGTTAACACATGTGGGAGGTACTCGTGCTTTGCTTTTTGTTGGTCTTCTGTCGACGAAACGTGACACATGTAGCAAGGATGCCGGCTGGGTTCTGGTTCACTTGCTGTCGGTGATTGTCAAGCGGGAAAGAATGGCACTGTATTTACTTTAATGGCGTCTTTTTGTGACTTGGTTTGACTCGGAGTGTGCTTGATGGTGCTATGTCAGAGGTTGTAGCGACGTGATCCTTGGTGTTTCGGCTCATGCACTGTTTTATGCCTTCTGCTTAGGACTTTCACTCTAAACATGTGGGATCCTGTTTCATAAGCAAGGTCTGCGTATTGTAAATCTAGGTTTTTGTCTAGAAATCCAGTTTGCACATCGCGGCGTCTCACATCCGCACTCTCCCGATTCGCATTTGTCCATCGTTTTAATCTTTTCGGTCAGTAGGCCTTCAAGAATTACGTGCGCCCTCCGATATATTCAACTTTCCAGCCGACATGAAGCCTGAGACTTGGTACTTTATTTCCAGTATGGTATGAGCCCGTTATGCTTGCACTACTGAATCACTTCGCCGGAAACTTAGGAAGTATGCATCGTTGTTACTGCTTATCCATGTCATGCCAATAGGGACTGCAAAGTTCTGTGTTGACTTTTCAGTGTCGACCGATGTTTTCTCAGATGAGAAATGTTACAGGACTTAGATGTAGCGACGCCATATAGGTTGAAAGTGTTAAGCCCATTTCTGAATAGTTGACAGGGCTGCATCTAATTTAGGATCCCTGGGGGGAAAAATAAATAACGTTTGACAGGCGAAGAAAATCAAAGCAGGACGTTGTACGCAAGCATATCGGTTACAGTCGCCGAACGTGACAATAGCATGCTAACAAGTGGACAGGAAAAGGGTTATATTAAGGTGATGACGTAGAGCTGAAGATAAATGCTGGTGCCAATATTGAGGCTTTAGAAGATGTAAGGGAGAGAATACATCGGTGCCTTCGTAACCATTTCTCAGCCATGTCACCATAGGTCCTCAACTACTGATTCATATCTCATGTACTCTACCTGTATATTCGACACTTCCGTATGAGGCACAGACTAACAGTCAGGGACTTCATGGGCTATCCACATCTTGGTTTTGCCACCCTAGACCTAAAAACCCATTCCAACTTCACCTAGCATGGCACCGCGGGGTAGGCCTTGAGTGAACACGCTCAGTGCTTGTCCAGTCGAGCAGCTCTGCTCTAAATCTATGTTTAGACCAGTGAACCCAAGCGAGCTAGCTACTGGGTGTCCAGGTACTCGTGAAGTGAGTTTTGAGAATTCACCACTAAGGTCAAGTAAGGACCACTTCTCTGCTGCTGTGTACGTATACCAGAGGCGGCCTGCATCCGTTGCCAGAGTTTTGGCTGACCGTGCTTGCTGTCTGTTTTTTTGCCTTTGATTATGAATCCCGGTGGCAGCGTGTCACGAGATTGTGGGATGAGTTGATTTTTCGTCTGACCTACAGCCCTCTACTGTTGGTAGGGCAGTAATGGCGCGACACTGCTGGTCATCCAAAAGAAACACCTTGCCACTGCTACAACTCACCCAGCTAACAGAAGTACGACTTCACCCTCAGACTTCCGTCATAGCGTAGCAGTTAGCACTGTAATGGCAACTGCCTTATGTCTGATTACTATCCAACAGACATTTCTGGGATGGTAGGATCTCGAGGGAACAAGCGTCTCGACCAGCGTAGGTCTTTGAGACATTGTTGTATGCAACATCGACCACCAAGTCAGTGTTTCAGATATCGGTCGGGATTGATATTTGGAGACTACAAGAGGTGAAGTTCGGGTGTACGCACATTTCATTTTTTCAAGCGAGAACTTGGGGTGCGATGGGAGCGCCTGTTTTTGTCATTTCTCCCGCAGTGTAATTCCACCTCAGGGTTGTGTTAGTATAATCTTAGTATGCTGTGATTTGCAGCCTACTATAAGGGGTTCCCGGTCATTTGGTTCTTGATATCTATGAGTATAGTATAGGACGCATCAGGGAGTGCTCTATGGATTTTAAATGGACGGCGTTGACGTGATTCTGCAGTTATTCATTTTGGTGAGATGGCCAGAAATCTCTTTCCTATTTCTGTTAAATGTTTCACAGTTAACGTCAGTATACTTGTTGCGAAAGCTCAACCGTGTCATCATTATTCTTGTAGCATTGCTCGCAGTCGTTTCCTTTAAGGGATGAGTTACACTGAAGGTACAACATACTCTTTAACGTAGTGTTGATCCTTTTTCAGTAAATGGGATAATTTTGAAACATTGGTTACCGTCTTCTGAACAACTATTCCCTTTCTGTCTCAATATTTGGTAGTTAAGACTGATTGGCGAAAGTATAGAAGTTGTCAGCCCATAAGGTTATCTGGTTTCGATTGACATCTGCTTGTGCATCATAATTTCCATACCGTTCACCTGCCTTTGGCATATTTAGAAGAGTTGATTAGTTTATGAAGTATCGCTGTGGAGTGAGAGATATCTGTATTGGCTTAGCATCTGTTTATGCTTCACAACTTCTAGGATGGTGATCGGGAGACCTACAGAATCACTGATTTCAGTAGATAGTATGCATCGCTCGGTTATGCCGTGGTTTTCTTATTTATTCTGTGACTGAAAAGTCAAATGAAAGAAGTGGAAACTTCTTTCAATGTATCTTGTAAAGTGCTTCTCTGATAACTCATATTGGTTTCCATTTCTTCTTTTTGCAACACTATGGTCTCCGTTGTGGTGCTATATTATTTTGTATGGCACTTCTCTTGATGCCTACCTATCAAATCTGTGTTTTTATTCAAAATATAGTGATTTTTGCTAAGATGTCGAAATCAGTGTGTTCTACCTCTGAAAATCGATGAAAGGTTCCATACTGTACCTTCAGTAACTGCTTCTTTTTCTCGGAACTTATATTCCTTCATAGTGTCAGTTGATTGTATGCTGGGTATTGTGTAGTTCCTATGTAACGAGTTTTGTTTTTGAATACGAACGACTATAACTACTCAAAGGAATACTAGGCAGATTGGCCTAAGGAAGACGATTCAAATATGATTTTTTTTTTTAACTATAAGGTTATATCCGTTATAGAGCGAAGAAGCGAATAATACAAATGAACACCTAAATTGTTATGGTGGATATGGATTACTATTAAGGGATTTCTTCTTGGTTTGTTATGCTCAAAATATCCAGTTGCTTCTGCGATAATAGGGTTAGGAGCCATTTTACTATTTTATCCCCTACTCTATGAACTCGTTCCAACGTAACTGTTTCACATTTGAAACATAAGATTACCATTTGGATCACCTATTCCAGTTGAGTTCTTAGGTATATCGGGTATAGTATCTGAAACGAAAAGGTCGTAAAACTGATAAACCTTCAGAAGCTGCTACTCTACAGTTTGTTGTAGTCTTAAGTTCAACAATTACTCTAACTTCTAAATTCTGATATTCAGAAACTTTTTACAGTGGGAGGTTGCTTTTCGAATAGTTAAGCAGACTGTTATGACTGCTATACATAACTATGCTTTCGTTTCTATTAATCTGTAGTGCCTACATACTAGACTATTCCACTAAGGTGTTGTTTGTCTTGTTGGAAAGCCAAACTGTCATTATGGTTGTGCACAGTTCTACAGAGTCGAACGTCGCTTGGAAAAAGGAGACAAGACGGCTTGATTTCTAACGATATTTCATAAACACTTGGTCGAAATCGAAATAGGTGCAGAATATTTCATTGAGGTAGGACTCTTTTCACGGGGATAAGACTAGTTAACCCTTACTCTCTATCATATATCTGGGAGGTTCCTCAATCCAATCTCTCACCTTACTGTCAATCTCAAAATCGTCTGACTTTACCAAAAGTTAGAAATAAAACCTTTTCAAAACCTCTACTGAAGTTAGTAAGTACGTCGACAATGTCGTCAGGGTCAACTGCTGCCACATCATCTTCGCTTGGTATAAGGGAGTTATTCACACAAGAATGGCTGGCCTTAAACCATGCTGCTTCCCCACTGAAGACCTATTTCCTTCTGTTATGCTATATAAGAACACGGATGAAGTTTTCCAGTTATTTGACAAATCTGAAGGTTATACTCACTGGACGACAGTTAATCCCAAGATGCCTAAGCCATCATTCAGAGTAGCAGCCAAATCATGTGTGTGAGGCACTGAGAAACGATCTGGAGTTGTTTTAGTGTTGGATCACTGATAACAAACAGGACCGGCAGTTCATACCATTTCCCTTCGTGACTACGTGCAGAGGAGAACGTGGGCTATTTGGAAGTTCTAATGACACTCATTTCCAACATATTTTTTCATTCAGCTTTGATGACTTGAAGTTCATCTTGAGGTAAACGTCGCGATTTGGCAAAAAATAGTGGAACATTTGTTGTTATATATTTGAAAGCGTTATACATTGCGCAAGACACACCAGTTATCTGATTGGAAATTTCAGGAAACGACTGGACAATGAAAGCATACGAGTGTCAAATTTCAGGGCTGGCTTACAGAAAGGGTATTGGTAGAATCAATCAACTTGAGCTTATCTGCATCTACCAGCAACTGGTAGCGCTGTAACATATTTATACCGATTATGCCGGTGGTCATGTCAGCCATAGTGAAAACTCAACGGTGTAGTCCAAGGTTAAGGTCAAGTGACTTAAGACCGTGTATCTTGGTGGGCGAGTCGTTAACAGCAAGTTGTGGAGAAATCGGTCGAAGTTACTGTCCGGTAGTGGGTGGGATTACACCAGCCATTGGGACGTGCATCCCTGAAAGACTATTACTTATGTAGAAGAGGCGACAGGCTAAAGGTTCACCAGCGACGTCAGCTGCCATCACATGCTGGCGTACATGTTTCACAGCTACTTGGGGTCAAAAGTATACGGTCTAGTGCATCTTTTCCCGTTTGCACTATAGTGTCTATGATACCAACAAATTCCAGGTTGCGAACCCTTTGTTTGTGACACTATGCGACGATGTTTTGTAGTAGATCGCGAACGTTAGAGACAAACATAACTACATGATAATCGACTTCCCTTCATCTTTTTGTGGATGCTACAGAACACTTCAAACAATTCAGTAATATAACCAATAGGGTTGAAATTTGAAGGGTTACGTGATGGGTATACTGCTTTGTTTGCTGCCTGAGCTAATTCTACAGATGGAAAGGTGCAAGGATGCCTTGAACCGACTGTAGAAGACGTTGAAGCCGTAGTTGTTTGAGAAAGGTATAATCGCACTTGTAATCCGAAGCAAGCTATCATATCTGGCGTAGCATTTGCCTAGGCCTACGACCATCTAGCTGAACGGCGCGAAAGGATTCCCGCACTTTTTGTTAGTCAGTCAGAGAAACACTTCTGATGACGGCCTGCTTGAGCCAGTGATAAAGGTTTGGAGTAGTGTTCTCAAGCACATCAGATACCTCCTCGACAACGTTCTCTGAAGGGCTGAAAATTATCAAGTTCGACTTGGTCTTTTGTGAGATAATTTGCCAAAGGGCGAAATCAGCTTCAATACAGGCAAAGGAGACCTAAGGTTTGCTGGTCCAGAAAGCTAGAATTTGGATAGTAACAGCCATTTGTGTCGGAGAGTTTTAAGTGTCAAGCATGTATAGAGGTATAGGAAAAATAAGCTAATATGATCGGAGACAACCAACGAAATATGAGTAAAGACGTAAGCAACAGAAAACATGACACTGCTTGGTACTGGCCTATACATATATATATATATATATATATATATATATATATATATATATATATATATATATATATATATATAAATGCCGAAAACGGTGTAAAAAACTGTTTATTCAGAAATAAAGTGATACTCGGATTCATCAATTGTAAGAGTCTCGTGTTACTACTATTGCCTAACACTTGACCAGTTTCATGTAAACCCAATGTGCACCAGTACCAAGCTAATCACTACTCTACCTACGTGTAAGTACTGATAACAGAAGGCAATCGAGGAAACACATTACATGGTAAAGTGTTCAGACGAGCAGTTTATTTATTGTTCAGAAGTAAAAAGGTTATGTTAAGGAAAAACGTTTAGTTTATTTGTCTACTAGTGGCCAAGTTGCTGCTGTTGTTCAGCCCGAAGAGGACGCAAACACAGTGAATGCCTACACGTTGAAAAAAAACTTCGAGAACCAGAGTCACCCGTTGACGTTTTAAAAGATTATTTAGATATTTTAACTACTTATTTATTTAAAACCAAGCAGTATTTTTGGTACCAAGAAGGTGGACTACAAATAATTCCCCCCTAATCCAAGAAGGTTGTTGAAAACTACAGACAACCTTCAAACCTAGGAGGCATTAAAAATCTTTATGAGTAGATAGCATAGAATACCAGCAGATTTCGTGAAAAAGCAACAACTGATATTGAAGCCATAGTTGTTGATAAATTTGATGATGATGATGACCTTACAGGTCGATTCTGGAAGAGGAATCATAATTCTATCTTCAGAATTTCTGATTGAAAAGCTAACGAAATGGTTCTTTCTTGAGATCGATCAACAAGTAACTGATATACAATGGATAATATACAAATTTCCATAGCTAGAAATCACTAAGTAAAGAAGAGAAATCTAATAGATTTTTTTTGCTATCAAGAATCTACACAAATAATAGTCAACGGTGGGTTGAACAGAGATCATTAAATGAATAGCAAGTATAAACACTGTTGTTTTTAGAGGTCGTACCATAATAGTAAAGATTCTAAAAAATCCACTGTTTAAGTCACTGAGGATATTTTTATCCATTAACCAATAAAATTAGCTTCTCTAGTTGACAAATAACTCTAAAACAAGTTGCTTCTCTTCTATTGTATGTCTACAAGTTTAATTGCTATCACGGAGCTAGATAAATAGATAGCATAAAGTGCATTCTTTTCAAGCACAGTTATCAATAGGTAAATGCAGATTAATAACCAATTTATCAATGTCATTTACAAAGTTGAAAGGAATTGTTTCAACAGAGTGCTATTTCAAAACATATTCACGACACAGAATAGGGATATTCCATATTCTACCTTGATAAAGTTTTAAATCCTTTCCCAATTTCATTATAATAAGTCATTTTATATCTGAAGTTGTCATTCATACATAGACTGACATTAGTTGAAGGAACAAAGGGAATCTGGGAGCACTGGACAGCTGTTTCGTCCTAGTATGGGGACTCCTCAGCAGTAGGCTTCAAGAAACTTAAAAAATTGTAAACTGGTTATATTAAAAAGGAACTACACTAATTGATGATTTTATTTTGTGAAGAAGTTTCAAATAATCAATGTCTTTTCAATAGGTTGATTCATAGCATATCGCTGAATTCGATTGAATTATGTGTTGAACAGTTCCCTCGATCTCTATAAGGATTAACTTGTCAACCTTTTTGGGATAGTATACATCTCAGTCGATGAAGGTTGGTGATCTGATTTCAGAATACATATAATTGACTGTCATCAAACATGAGATACCTTCGCATAACTTTCACGTTTAATAGATGTCCCACAATTATACAGTAGAGCGAAGGCTCCGGTTCAATAGGTGCATTCGGACATCACACTAGCAAGTTGAAATCAGTAGATAGAGAGTCTAATGAGATCTGACGTCTATGGATGTTTCCCAATCACTTATCATTTAAATTTGGGGATTCGTAGGGATTTGGAAATCTTTCAAGTCCGCATTCATTATAAACTGACATCAGTTGGAAGAACATTGGAAACGTGAGGGCAGTGGACAGCTATTTCATCCTGGTATGGGACCCCTTATCAATGCACACCGGTAGCCTTGCGAAGGATCGAACTCACGACTTTCAGGTCCCACGGCCAGCATGTTACCACGGAGCCACTTGGTTGGAATCCAGTGGTCCATATTTCCAACTGATAGAAGTTGGAAATAAGAACCATTGGGTTGCGACCCGGTGGCTCAATGGTACCGTGCTCGCCATGTACCTGAAGATCGCGGGTCCGCACTGCTGAAGAGTCCCATACTAGGACGAAACAGCTGTACAGTTCTCCCAGGTTTGCAATATTCCTCCAACTGATATCAGTCCATGATGAATACCAACTTATCATTTAACTGAAACTGTTGTCAGATTCCCCCCCCTCTTAAAAAGTGGTTTATAGTACAAAGCCGTACAAGCATGATCTTCCATCAACTACCCATCTCTATGTAGTATTAAAAACTAGAGAAAAAAAGAAAAACACTTTTAAGAAACAAAAATTCTTTTTACATACTCTTCCATTGAAATAAAATGAAGTTAGACAGAGAAAACAAAATAAACATACAATTCAAGTCAAAATAAGCAAACAACTAATAAAATAGAGTAAAAAAAGCAGGGAGAGAAGAAAATGAATAATACATTTCACTCCACCTCGAGTATCAGTATCCGGTATGTTGCCATATAGGCTGTATCCAACCTGATTGATATCATCAATAGCAGTATTTATTCCGTTCAAACAATTATAAGAAATGAGTAACTATGTTTAATCTCTTTTCATTTATGAGAATATTTTTAAATCGAAAAAACCGGTTATATTAACCCTTACAATGGTAACATACCAGATATATCGCTAGTGTAGTCAAGTTATATAACAGAAAGACAATAGAGAATACAAACAAAAATAAACATAGAGAGAGACAAAACTGACTGACACAAGTGTATGTGTGTATGTGCCAGCCAGCCAACTAATGAAAAATATCCACAAAGGAATGTAATCAAATACCGTATATCACCAATGATAATTTATCACAAAAAGAAATAGGAAAAATCACAGCTTCCTATGTTCATTTCAACAGACAATTGTTTATTGAAATAAAGAATTAGGTGCTTAGGTGAACATGTGTGTGTGTGTGTGTGTGTGTGTGTGTGTGTGTGTGTGTGGTATACCTATACATGTACAGTGATAGAGAAAAACAACAAATCTGTAAACATGATATGAGAAAAATGTCTTTTCTTATCCATAATAATTGATAATTTTTACTATTCATATAATTTTCCTCGCTTCTTTTCTTTTTGGTATTAACTTAATAAATCGTCTATATCATATTTAGTTAATGGTTTAATTGATGTATTATCAGTTGGCTTGAATAAATTTTCACTGGAAATCAATGATAATGGTGTCGGAGATAAACGTGTAGTTATCATTTGATTTGTTGTTGAGAATAATTGGGGTGTAGTAAATCCAGTACTATTGTTTGAGATATAATTTTGTTGAATAAATGGTTTCATTGTGATATTGTTAGACATTACTGTTGTTGTTGTTGTTGTTAAGGAGAATGGTGTATAATTCAACAAATTAGCATTACTATTATTGATAGTGGTAGAGGTTGTAGAGAAGGGAACAATTGAATTTGAACCTTGATTAAAATTGTTTGAATAATACGATGATGTATTGAAAACACCATTCTGTCTATATGAAAATTGTGGTTGTGACTGAGGTGGTGCTGGTGCTGGTGGTGGTGTAATCAGCGCTAAAGGTATTCCTGTTCCTAAACGATTCGATGATAGTGTATTCAATCTACTGTTATTATTATTATTATTATTATTATTATTATTATTATTATTATTATTATTATTACTGTTTATTGTTTTCGATGGACTATTGATTGCATTCAAATTATAGGTTATCAAAGAATTTGTAATATCAATCGGTTTTGATTTATTTATTAATTTCATTGGTTCAAAAGCGTTTTGTGATGATAATGATGGTAGACTGGACAACGATAAACGTTCAATTTGTTCTTGTTTAGCAGCTAATTGACGTTTTTGTTCTAAACTTAAGCAAATACTTTCATTATATGTTGTTGACGATTTTGTAGGAGATATAGGTGACGATGAATCCTTTGCATTCTTCATATCATTATTATTATTATTGGTATTAGTAGTATTGATTGAACCAGGGACATTCTCTTTCACGTATTGATCAGCATCATCCAAATAGGTACGAATCAGACGAGTCATCTTACAATTGAACAAACATAAAAAGGAATAATAATAATAATAATCAATACGATGGATAATCCTATTGAACTATGCTTTATAAACTTGTAGTGAGATGGGACAGACAGACAGACAGACAGACAGACAGACAGACAGACAGACAGACAGACAGACAGACAGACAGACAGACAGACAGACAGACAGACAGACAGACAGACAGACAGACAGACAGACAGGGAGAGAGAAGAATAGCCTAGAACAGATTCATCTTTAAAAATATCAATTCATGTTATGTTTGCATGAACACAAAAGGCTCAGTTGGCTTTTGCCAACTTACGCCATCTATGAAGTCACCACAATATCCGAATGTCTATAAAGGGTCGAGGATACTGTGCTATAGTCTATTCTCTTCAACTCTATGGCTGTGAAATATGGCCATTAAGAGTAAAAGACATGAAAAGGCTTCAGGTGATTGACCACCGTTACCTTCGTAGCATTGGCTATGTGTTGTGATATCACCATGTGAGTAATGCAGAAGTCAGAGGTAGAGTTTTACGTAGGAGAGGTAAATCAGTTGATGACTGTTATATATGCTTAAACAACGTTTGTCCTATTGCATAGTGTTGGCCGAAGTAGGTTCAGGCTGGAAAAAAGCTCGAGATGACCAGACTAAACATGACATAAATGCATGAAGTCCTTAACTGTTCACTTGAGTCATAGTAGGGCAATGCATTCTAGCCTGTTGGGTTCAGCGAGACAAGAGAAACCGGTGGATAGACACTTCAGGTGATATCCCTTAGGATCAATGTCAGCGGAGCACATGTTTACATACATTAAGCTAATGTTAACCACTATACTTAATCTTATCATTTTCTCTATTCTTCCTTCCTCTCTTTTACTACTTTCTACTTCATTTGATCGATTTTTCTTTCCTTCTTCATCTTCCATTTTATTATCTGCTAATATGAGGTGTAGCAACTGAGTAAAAGTTTGTTCTACTTAGTACTTTCTAAGCATACCCTCTTAGTTATAACACCTTCACTGAAGTAAACTATTCATTTTAATCGTCAAAGAAAGGACTGTAATCAATCAACACTCTTACTATGAAAGAATGAAGTTGACATAGAAGTGAATTGCAATAGCTGACCCACTAGATAAATTCATTTAGAAGGCGAGTAACTAACCTGATAAAAACAAAGTCAATAGACTTAATGACTGAATATATTAAATATCTATTGAATAATAATGAGGAAAAAACAATCACTATCTCTCTTAGTTTTCAGCTTACATTCCATCTATCCAGATCAACCTAGGACCAGGCATTACTGCGTAACGGTCCGAGTTGCCACACCTCATATCAGTACATCAAGTCAAAAGGTAGTGAGGTGAAGGATGAAGATAAGAGAATGCAGTCAAAAGAAATATAAAGTACTCAAGGAGAGGAAGGAAAAACGAGAAAATGGTGAGATTCGGTACAGCGTCGATAAGATAACGATAATGTATGTATACATCTACGCCACTGACATCGGTTCTCAGCCATATCACCTAGAATCTCCAACCACTGGTTTCTCTTGTCCCGCCGAACCCAACCACCTAGTCTGCATCGCCCAACATGGCTTAAACCAACAGTCACAGACCTCATACATTGGTGCCATGTTCTAGTCTGGCCACCTGAGGCCTTTTTCCAGCCTGGACCTACCTCAGCCAACATTGTGTGAAGAGGCAATCGGCAACTAGGCATACGTAACACGTGTCTCAACCATCTCAGTCGATGAAGGTTCACAACCTCGTCAACGGACTTACCACTTCTGTCTAAAACTCTACTCCTGACTTCTGCGTTACTCACTTGGTGACACCACGGAATACGGCACATACTACGAAGGCAATGGTGGTCAAACACCTGAAGCCTTCTCATGTCTTCCACCTTCAATGGCCATGTTTCACAAGCATACAGTACAACAGACCGGACTGCTGTGCAGTACACGCGACCCTTAGTAGACAATCGGATATCAGAGCGGCGCCACAGGTGGCGTAAGCTGGTAAAAGTCAGCCAGCCGAGCCTTTTGTATCCGTGCAGAGATTTCACCGGGCAATGGGCCATCAGAACTGATCCCACTTCCCAGGTAAGTGAAGATGATACGATAAGAAAGACATATGCTGCTCATTCGCAGGCACAACATAACTCGAGAAGAATGTAACGTACTCATCAACCTGGTGAATTTCCACGCAATGAGCGGTGTCTATTTTGTAACTGTTAACAAAATGTAGAACCTCGTACACAAGCTCATCGTTTCAAGTTACTACAAGGTTTAACGATATTACATGGTGATTCAAACGTCGGTAAGCGGAGCAGGGTTCGAACTCGTGACCCATTAGGTTGAAAGTCAACTCTTTAAAGCAATGGAATCGCAAATTAGAAGGAGGCTGAGTGTAGTGACAGTTAGACACGATGCCAGTTCATAAAGCTTGAAACTGTCGGTTTGACTCAAGTAGAAAGGTGTAGATAGCCTCGAGTCATAGAGACCATAAAAGTCAATGATTAGAAAATCTTGCCGACATGGCTAGAAATCAATGGCCTAGTAAGTAACGCTCCGGGGTTTGAAGCAATGCGTAGCGGCTTCGACTCCCGGTGGTAGTGACGTCACTCACTGAGATGCAGGTACATCTAGCTGATAAGTCTCAAATATAACGAAAAGTGTGTCATTAACCTCACTGTTAGCCATAAAGATGAATAAAGAATGAACTTACCAAATCTGAACAAGAATTTGATGAAGTCCAAATACTTTCATCCACATTCCCAATTCTCAACATGCTATGCAATGAAAAAAAATTACTATTCAAATCATCTTTATAATATGACCAATATCAGGAGATGCATCCCGTTTATACATTATTATAATTATTATTTATCCCTTGGGTTTCTAGTGGAACATAAGGCTTCAGAAGCACACCTACATTGCACTCTCTTTTCTGCAGTCTTTTCAACTTAGCTCCACGAATGCTCACAAGCTTTCATTTCTTCCTCACATGATCTCCTCCATGTCACCCTCAGCTGGGATACCCAATTCATCGTTTGCCCTTTCGATTCCACTCGAGGGCCTAGCGCGTGATGTACCTGAATGGTTTTCTCAGTATATGTCCAGTTCAATCCACATCCACTTCTTCTGCATATTTGTTAGGTGACAGGTTCATGGTTGGTTCGTTGCCAGCCAACCAGAGTTTCTTGTAGCTTATTCTTTCTGGCCATCTGATCTTCAGTATCGAATAAGCGTAGGCAGCTGTTGATAAATGCCTATAGTTTGTTCGAAATGCTTTTACCTTTATACATAGTACACATTTGTTAGTTTGTAGTAGTATACAAAATATAAATACAAACTAATGCTGATGAGTATGAAAAGGGGGTGAAACACACGTTGTGAATTACTCTGACACATCACTACAGAGTAGTGACTGAACATAATCACCAAGGTGGAATTCTCCAACTTGTAATATCTGTGGTACCGACTGGCGAGATATCAGACTATCTGTCTAAAATCGGGTATACTCCTCAGCAGTTCGTTCTATCCAGTTGTACGACTGTGAGACATAGACATTGAAAGATATAAACAGGTTACTGTGTCACTGTATTCGTAGCATTGTGCGCGTTTAGTGTAATCACCGTGTGAGCAATGTTGAGGACTGGTAAAGGGTACTAGTTGAGGCAGACAAGTCGACTAGTGAGGTTGTGAAACTTAGTCGACTGAGTTGGCTTGGACATGCACTGCATATGCCGAGCTACCGATAACCTCAACATATCATGTTCGGGGAAGTTGGATTAAGTTGGAAGAAAGTTCAGGGTGGCAATATGTTTGACCAATGCATCAAGTCTCTGTCGCCTACAGAAGCATAGATTCACATGGGTAGGGTCCCCGAAAAGGAAGGAATCCATGGTTGACAACTCTTTGTGACATGGTGAAAAATCGGTTGCAGTGGCACTAATGTGTTCACTCCTCCACATCTTGTGATGCATGAATATGTACACTAACGGTTATCTTCGATTGTTTTTTTTCTCTCACACACCATTTGTCTACTTTGATATCTATCCGTTTGTTCTTTAAATAATACCGTGAAGTGTAGCAACCGGAAGAAATCCACTTCTGTGCCAAGTTCTACGTTGATTTTTTCAGTCTGTTACTGAATATTTCAAAGAAAAACAATTCATTCAATGAATCAGTTTAAAAATGTGATCATAACAAGACTTCTGTAGGAGAAGTAGTACTCACTATGGTATATGAATAATTTCATTGAATTATGACGCTAATTACTGTGAATTAGCGTCAACGTCATAGTGGTTACAATAGCAGCTTCATATTCATTAATTAGTTGGAGAACAAATGGCATCTAGAGAAAAGTCACTGTTTTCAGTGATGTTATTTTCAGGTTGTACAAACATATACATGTATTATATTTAAATGGTAACTGAAAGAAGAAAGTTTCATAAAGTATTTTTCTTCAGTTTAGGGATTTGTGGGGGACGTTTTCGTGATTTCAAGTTGGTATTGATTATGGACTGAGATCAATTGGAGGAAAATTGAAAAAGTGAGAGCATTAGACAGCCGTTTCGTCCTAGTATATTACTCTTCAACAGTGCGCTCCTATTACCCCACCTCACCAGGGATCGGACTCCACCTTCAGGTCCAGCGACCAGCATGATATCAAGGAACCACTGGGTTGGGATCTAATGATTCATATTTTCAACTTCTGTCAGTTCACGACATAACACGACCATGGTGAATATTAAATAGAAATCACTAAAAAGTTCCCCACAAACTACCAAATTGAATTAATCTAGTGCTCATTGGTGACTAGATTTGAGAGATGATTCCTGAAGTTCCAATGAAAAGTTATGACCGAAAGGGGCAGACCTGGTGGACGTGAAGACAAATAATCAACAATGACATTGTGTGATGGTCGTACTATGTTGTGAACTGACGGGAGCGTTACAAGATGTGGAGGAGTGAACACGTTGGTGCCACTGCAACCGATTTTCAACCATGTCACCAAGAGTCGTCAACCATGGATTCCTTTCCTTTTGGGGACTCCACCCAGGTAATTATATATATATATATATATATCATAGAGATCCATGGATGGAAGTGTCGGCTTACCTGTCTTCATCAGTTGCACCATGCATTTGTTCCAATTTAGCATATTGTTCTCGTTCCAAATATGCACACATATCTCGTATTAAAGATGCATAAGCATTGTATTGTTTTAAATTAAGACTACTTTCAATTGATATTGGAATTAGGTAAGGAAGCACTTTAGTAGCCAATTTCTCTCGACTTATACCTAACTTCTCATGACTGAAGGCTAAACGATATATACCTATAGTGGAAATTGAAAGGAGTAGTTTATCGTGAAATACATTATATTTACTTAAAAAATATTTACTGACTATATAATAAGGGAAGACAACTTTGACTAGACAGGAAACTGAATGATAATTTACCAGAGGAAACCTTGTTATCAGTAGGTGAAGTCAGTTACATTTTGATGTTTCACTCCAATTCCCGGTTCAGCTCAAAGTCACGGGGAGTTTTCAGATTTTTGGACGTTCTAATGGAAACCTGATGAGTTGCTCCTTCCACCGAGCAAGAAACATTCAAGCAACGCATTAAAATGGAAACGGATGATCCTATCAGAGCAGTTTGTTAACACCACCCTGAAAATGATCAGTGTTATCTCGGAACCCTACCTTAACTTTCACAGGTCAACGCACCCACAATCGTCTGGTAATAGGTTAGTTGGAAGTTTCTCAATGAAGTTCCCACAATCTTCCAGACTGAATGCAGCTCACCTTTTTGAAAGGTTTATGGACCTATAATGTCGACGAATTCGCAGTAGTGGTTCTTTTCAAATTACTAATTTACAACCAAAGATAGGGTACTCTATATCGAATATCGCTCGCCTTCGTAAAGTAAGCTAATTCCCTTGCAACTGCTTCAAAAACAATGTCTACTGAAATCAGGAACTTAGATATATCGGTTACGCTGCTCCCAGTAAATAGGCAGAATCCTAATGGTCTACAAAACCATCCACCTAGTGAAGATTTATGGGACTGGTCTTCAACTGAGGTTTTCACTAAGTCAACTTCACAGCATCATGGTACATATCCAGCGGAGACGCGAAAAAGCTAATCATCGTACGCACGTAAGCTCGACTCGTAAACCCTGACATACAGTATCTCTAAATTTAGCAAGCCAGCAATAAAAACCTTACACCACTAAACCGTGCGTGAATAGCTTCTTCACATCGAAGCCTTGGACCTTAACTTCGGAGCCAACAAACACTCTCTCGAGAATCATAGTTACACCCATGAAGTCAGTGTGGTCACCCTAAACGCTAAAAAAGGAAGATCCACTGACTAAACATTAAGATCGCGTACTCCAATTGCCTTGGGCCGCATAATCCTGGAGAGACTAGGAAATTCTCTGGATTCAAAATTACCACCGGAATAGGATGGCTGGACTCAGGAAAAATAAATAATGTGGGGATCAAATTGCACACATCATAATATCACAGAGCATAGAATGGCAGTCAACTCAACTCTATCTCAACTTCATCCACTTTGAAAAGGCCTTCGACAGCGTCGACCAGGCAGTTGCTCCAACACTACGGTTTGACTGCCACAAACCTTTATCAATCTCATTCAACAGCAGCTATATGACAACGCCACATGCCAAGTGATTCACACTGGAAAACTCAGTGATTCCTTTGAAGTGAAGACAGTGGAAGGAGTAAGACAAAATTGCCTACTATCCATCACCGATGATCTTCCTGATTGTGGTTGACTGAACTGGATCATGCAGTAAACAGTGAGGAGGGAGAAGATGGGCATACACTGGCTGGACCGATGCAAAGATCCTAGAAGATTTGCATTTCGCCAATGATGATTTATGTCTGTCTCATGTCGCACAAACTCAAAGATCTACAGTCAAAAACCAACAAGTTAATAGAAGAGGCACGGCAGCGAAAATGGGACTTCAGGTGAACGTAGAGAAGATAGAGGTGATGAAGATACCCAAACAGCAACAGCATCAACAATAAGAGGCACCAAACACCATGAACGGGAGAAACCTAAAGGAAGTAGTCTCCTTCACCTACACCTACCTATCTAGGCAGGGCAGCATCCTTTCAACTACAGGCGGCACAGGCACAGATGACGATGTCACAGCAGCCAGGATCGAAAAAACAGCAAGACAGGCTTTCCTGAATTAATCTGAAATCAGTGTGGAGATCTACTCCACTCAGCACAAAGCGCGAACAAGATGCGGATTTTCAACACCAACGTCAAGTCAGTGCTGCTATGTAATGGTACATAAACTTGGCGTGTCACGAAAAGCATTTCTAACAAACTACAGACACATGTCACATGCACAGCTGCAGCCCACTCTCACTCGATACTGAAGATCAGATGACCAGAAAGAATAAGCAACAAGGAACTCTAGCCTGACTGGCAACAAACCAACCAAGAAGCTGTCGCTCAAGAAATATGCAGTGGGAGGAAGTGGAGATGGATTGGGCATACACTGAGAAGGCCGACTAAGGACATCACTCTCCAGGCCCTCAGGTAAAATCCAAATGGTAAACGATGAGTTGGACGTTCCAGCTGAGGGTGACATGGAGGAGATCATGTGAGGAATAAATGAAAGCTTGTGGGCAGTCGTGGAGCCAGGTTGAAAAGACTGCAGAGGAGAGTGAAATGTAGATGTGCTTCTGAGGCCTTATGTTCCACTAGGAACCCAAGGGAAAAATTAATAATACTAATTGCTATTTTCACGCCGTCTAAATGGTATTGTTACTTCTTGTTTTTCTCACTGCCTCTAAAAACTGAACTCTAATTAGCTGTTAACTCTTTTAACTTGTCAGTGAATTTAATGTGGTCAAGGTCGTTTAGAAATGTATATATTTAGCATCCCTCTCAACTGTTTTGACTGTTATTCGGACAGGAACATCTTTGTGTCAACGGTCCGTCTTAATCGCTTGTTCGTGGTGTTGTGTTCGTGATGAGTACCGAAAAGGACGAAACTTAGGTCCAGAAGTTTCTGTGCACCAGTTCACCACGATATTGAGTCTCCTAGCTTGGTGGTCACACTGGGAAATAGTCGAGAGAGTTCAGTTACCATTTAGGACTAGACAACATGGCATTGCTTACACTCCAGTTACTAATCAATGTACGCAATACAGTTTCATAGGAGGTCAATCGCAGCCCGAGTAGCTGAATGACAGAGTCTCTAATTGCAGTACTGCGTGACCTAGGTTTAGATCTCTCAGCAGATTTAAGTTCTTTCGAGGTTGGAGATACGTCTCGCTGAAAAGTGTCAACAAATACAAAGCCTATGGAAAACAGAGATTCCTGTTGACTGCTTTTAAACCAACTTAAGTGTAAATCTAATTCTTGGAAGCATCGAATTAGAACAAAATCCAGAAAGTATGACAATCGAAGTGAAGAAACATTGACAATTGATCACAAGTATATCCCTTGAATACAGTGGGGGAAAGTGAGGAAAACTGAAAAAAAATGCGCTACACTTCGCTAGGTATCCTTTTTTATGTTACAGCAAACGAAAAACTCAGTCCATAGTAATTTTAAAAGTTGGGTGACTATGACTCTCTATAATGTGAAGAGGAACAAAGCAGATTAAAAAGAAAATTAACCGAAACAATTAGAACAAAACAAGTAAATAAGCATAAGACAACAACAACAACCAATAACTAGACATACTTACCTAACACAGCGATTAAAACAGTCGGTTCACGTGATCTAATTTGTTGTAAAAACGGTAAAATATCATCCATAACAATCCATTTATCTAAATGATCTAATAATTTGCCAATACATACAAGACAATTCATACGTGTCTATGAAAGTAGATAAGTAAGAGAGAGAGAAAAAAATACAAAACAGAAAAGTAAAGCAAAATACAATTTGTTTTATCAATCTTAAAACTGATATAATAATAAGGATTATATTTGTACATAAAATATACATCAAATTGCTCTTATGAAGCTGAGTATATCCGTCGTACTATGCGTCCGCTTGTAAAACGTGTCCACGAACATAACCCAGCTTAGCTTGTAAAGGGAGAAACTGAAATGCATCTTCAGTTCGATAATAGAATACCTCGTGAACTCAGGCTACTTAGCTCCATAAAAAAATCTCTACAGGGTTCGATCAAACCACTCGAAGGGAATAAAATCAAGGCATCTGTCTATAGCTGAAGCACTAGCTAACTAGAAGTTTAAACCAGCGTTATGCGTGCAAAAAAAGGTACGTCCAACCTTTATCTTTGTCATGGCCATCATAAAGTCCTGTCTGCCATAGATTCATTTTGTATCTGGTAACTACATATATATATACCTTATTCATTTTTATACTGTCGTAGATTGAACCTACATTACGTAATTATTTATTGCTATTTGTCCCTTGGGTTCAGTGGCACGTCTCCAGTGCACTCTGTTCTCTGAAATCTTTTGAACCTCACTTCACGACTGCCCACAAGCTCTCATTTCTTCCTCACACCATCTCCTCCATGTCACCCTCACCTCGGACACCCAACTCATCGTTTCCTATCGAGGGTCCACTCGAGTGCCTGGTCTGGCGCGTGATGTCCTCAGTCGGCCTTCTCAGTGTATGCCCAATCCATCTCCACTTCCTTCCAGAGCATATTTGTTGAGCGATAGGTTATTGCTTCGTTGGTTCGCTTCCACAGTTCCTTGTTGCTTTTTCTTTCTGGCCATCTGATCTTCAGTAGCGAGTGGGCGTAGGCAGTTGTTGATGAAAGTCTGTAGTTTGTTGGAAATGCTTTTCGTAACGCGCCAAGTCTCTGAGTTATACAGAAGCACTGACTTGACATTGGTTTTGAAAATCCGCATCTTGCCCTTTATGCATTACGTAATTACAATCATATTTTTATGATCCCCTCTTTATCCCCATACTCTGTCATAGGTTTATCCAGTATTACATAATCGCATTTCATCTCCATAACTCTACGTTCAGTTTCCTACTTTGCCATACATTCATCCTGCATTACGTAATTACATTTAATTTTATAATCCCCTGTCTATTTTTCCCACTCTAAACACAAATGTGTATTAATTAACTTCCTTTTGCTCCCTGACCGGAAACAATTCTGGAACATTCTACCCACTGTAACATATATTCACGAAATGTACAGCTTAGTAAATGACTTTGTTGAAAAGAACACTTTTTGTTCGTTGAAACCACGTCTTGTCTTTTTTTATGATCAAATTTTAATTCACTGGATGCTAAATACAAGAAGCCTTTATAAATGAGATGTGGTTACAACCTGTAGCCAAATGACCAGGTGACTTCAAAAGTCATTCTAACAATTGAGTTTCATCATTTTGTGAAAAACTACCTTCTCAGCTAAATGTTCAATAATTGCCAGGATAGGATTTAAAGTCACTTAAAATCCCTTTGTCACCCAAGTAAAATATTAAGCCGCATCATCCTGGAGAGGCTTAAAGATGCACTGGATTCAAAACTACGACCCAAACAGGCAGCCTTCAGGAAAAAAAAATCATGTGCAGACCAAATTGCAACGCTTCGCATCATCATAGAACGGAGCATAGAATGACAATCAGCTCTCTACCTCAACTTCATCGACTTCGAGAAAGCCTTTGACAGCGTCGACCAACAAGTAATTTGGAAACTGCTTCATTACTACGGAGTACCAAAAACCTTTATCCACCTCATTCAACAACTATATGAAGATGCCACATGCCAGCCGAGTAATTCACAATGGGAAGCTCAGTGATGCCACTGAAGTGAAGACAGGTGACAGGAGTGAAACAAGGTTGCCTACTATCCCCCATGATATTCCTGATTGTGGTCAACTGGACTGGATCATGCAGCAAACAGTGGGCGGCGAGAAGAGGGGGATACACTGGCTAGGCTGCGGAAAAGAACCTAGAAGACTTGGATTTCGCCAACGATGACTTGTGCCTGATGTCACATAAACTTGAAGTACTACAGGCAAAAACTAACAAGTTGACAGAAGAGGCAGCGAAGACGGGACTTCAGGTGAATATAGAGAAGACAGAGGTGATGAAGATACAACACCAACAACAACAACAACAAACTCCAATTCACCGTCAACGGGAGAAACTTAAAGGAAGTAACCTCCTTCACTTATCTAGGAAGCACTGTTTCAACTACAGACAGCACAGGCACAGACGAGGATGTCAAAGTCAGAATCGGAAAAGCAAGACAGGCCTTCATTAATCTGAAACCTGTGTGGAGATCTTCTGCACTCCACTCAGCATGTGGAACAACATCCGGATTTTCAACACCAACCAGTCAAGTCAATGCTTCTGTATGGCTCAGAGACTTGGCGCGTCACGAAAGGGATTTCCAATAAACTACAGACATTCATCAACAACTGCTGCCCACGCTGGCTCGCTACTGAAGATCAGATGGATTGCCAGAAAGAATAAGCAACAAGGTGCTCTGGGAACGAACCAACCAAGAACCTATCGCTCAACAAATATGCAGGAGGAAGTGTAGATGGATTGGACATACACTGAGAAGGCCGACGGAGGACATCACGCGTCAGGCCAGTTGCTCAAGTGGAATCCCCATGGGAAGCGACGAGTTGGGTGTCCTAGCTGAGGGTGACATGGAGGAGGTCGTGCGAGGAGGAAATGAGAGCTTGTGGGCTATCGTGGAACTAGGTTCAAAAGATCTCAGAGAAGAGAGGTCACTGGAGACGTGCTACTGAAGCCCTATGTTCCACTAGGAACCCAAGGGACTAATAATAATAATAAAATCCCTTTGAAGGATATCCTAGCAACTGTTGAAATAACAAGCCAGATTTGTAAATTTCTGTTGGGAAGGTATTTTCTCATAGAATATAGATATGGAATTGGTTATCTTAGCAGTTGCTAGAGTCGCTTTTTAAGTAACTCGCGCTTGGCATTTAATTTCAATCTAGCTACTGCTGAAATAACAATTTCAATTGGAAAGAGACTTTATTCCATGTGAAGAAAATGAACTGGTTATTTATTTCAGTAGTTGTTAGAGTGGGAGCTTTAGACTTACTCCTAATCCGTGCGCAATGTCCCTGAGTGTTTCTATGATGTGTTTAGGTATAGATGAAGAGGGTCGTCTTCCAACAGCGTTTATCACGGTCTCACACTCCATTTGTATTGAAAGCCATTTAGCTACATGTTCTCCCACCCTCAATGCACGGCTCGATTACTCCTTCTTATATATGTGTGGCCACACACACACACACACACACACACACACACACATGTAAGTGGGTAAACACAATGGGATGTGATATAATCATTGATGAAGTGTTTAAGTTTATGGTGAAGCATGTTTTGTTTTATCCACAATGATGAGATTAGCTGCGCAATATGTTTTCTTAATGGCTGATGTTAGCCCACATCTCAAAATGATACCATTCAGCTCCCCTCTATATGGTTGAGTGATGTGGACACTTATCTTAGGAACGGTGTATAAAGTTGACTTCAGTGCTACCTCACCTCTACAACGGTTTATAAACTTCAACGGATATCCGCTTTCCATAAGTGTTCTGGTCAGTAATTTGATATCTTCATCCACCGTGTGTGATGTACTGATACGATAGATCCTATTTAATAGGCATTTTACTAGACCTCGCTTGTATTAGACTGGACAAAAACTGTGAAAATTCAGGTATTGTCCTGTCCACGTAGGCTTTCTGTAAACTGACCGTCTTATTAAACCATCTTCCCGTCGACTCACGAGTATGTCTAAGAATGGCGGACAAAAAGAAGTGTCGATATCACTTTACCATATAGGAGTTCAACAGTATCATTTTAAGATGTGGGCTAACATCAGCCATTAAGAAAACATATTGCGCAGCTAATCTCATCATTGTGGATAAAACAAAACATGCTTCACCATAAACTTAAACACTTCATCAATGATTATATCACATCCCATTGTGTTTACCCACTTACATGTGTGTGTGTGTGTGTGTGTGTGTGTGGCCACACATATATAAGAAGGAGTAATCGAGCCGTGCATTGAGGGTGGGAGAACATGTAGCTAAATGGCTTTCAATACAAATGGAGTGTGAGACCGTGATAAACGCTGTTGGAAGACGACCCTCTTCATCTATACCTAAACATATCATAGAAACAGTCCATCATATTATTATTCAAACAGCTTTCAAAGTCAGGGACGTTTACTGAGATTTGCGGAAGTCATAGCTATACGTTAATTTCAACTACCTTTATGTGTAGAAAAATAAAAACTTAGGCAGTAAGAAGCAACACATTTTTAATTAAGGTGATACATAGAAGAGTTGAAATCCTCGTAATTTCAGTGGTTTTCCAGTTTGTATTCCAAAAAACAGAGCTTTTGACACTAAACAACGTGTCAGCGTCAAAGAGGCTGGATCAAACTAACCTTTAATTCACGAAAGTCAAACGAAACGAAATGCATTCAGCAACCATTGTGGCCAATCGTGCAGTAGGCAATAAGCTACACCCATCGTGTGAGTGCTAATGATGTTACCTGGCAGCACAAACCATGGTAGGTAGAGCGGGGCTCGAACCCATGGCCCACTGGTTGAAAATCATCTCCCGAAAACAATGAGTCTCAGTTCCTACTTTTGATTACAGAATGTCTAAAAAGTAACGTCTTACATTCCTTTTCATACATCAGATTTTTCATATCAGAGGTAGAAAGATTCAACCTTGAGATAGTGGAGACTATTTGCAGTTCAGGAGGATGATTTTAGTTGTCATGCTTCCCTGAGTTGAATGGTTTAATCATGAGTCTTTTATTGTCATTCTAGACAAAATCATCAGCACAAACTTCGAAAAGAAGTGGTAATTACCTTATCCAACCTCATGATCGAACTATCCAGCTCAGAAGTGACAACACCAAAAAGTTCGACCTTATTGATGCGATATAGCACACCGTGATATAGTAGGATTATTTCTTAGACGATGGTGCTGTGACTCGTTGGTCTACGCTGTTAACTTTCAACCGATAGAGGTTTAGGCAGTCACGTGGTATCATTACCTCGCATACAATGGATGTGCCTTATTCCCTTGCAGGTGAACGTGCTCGTAATTGTTGGAAGAGCTTAGTTGCGCAGAAAAAAATCTCTATATAGCAAGACAGTCAAAAGATTGCTTAGACTTCTTTTTCATAGTCGTGAAAGCAAACGAGTAGACAGAAACAAAGGAAGAAATGTTCATTGTTAACAAGTGGGACAGTAATCGTTAAATATGGTACACCTTGAGCAAAGATATTCGTATGCAAAATTCGCTTCATTTCCTCTTCTGCTTCCATCTTAATTTGCTCTTAATACGCCCGCGTTGTCTCTAAGAGGTTTCTCTTGGCAGAATCCATACCCATCACCACCCTCTCAACATATGTTACTTATATCCATTATTATTAGCAACACCCACTACTACTACTTCTTTTTTATTTCTAATTGATAGTAAAGATCTTTATGGTGAAATCTTCTGAAATAGACGTTCATTACAAAAGATTTTAGCATATAGGAATGACGACGATAACAACAACAACAACAACATACGTAGTCATCTATCGGTGATATTCAAATTGACAAACTTAAAACGCAACATCCGAGATTATATTTTCAAAGTAGTCTTTATCACTGGTTGACATCAATAAATATTATCAGTAGGTGTCCGTATCACTTCTGACTTGGCTAATCCTAAAGGTTACAACTCATCGGAATGTAAAAAGATCCATCTCGAAGCCGATCACTAATGACCACTGAAATATAATTCAAGTGACGGGAGGGGGGGGGGAGGATTTATTGGTTTCACAATGGTTTTTATTATAAATTGGAAAAACAAACAATACAAAAAAAGAGAGTTTGGATTGAACTTACTGATAAATATTCTGTAGCTAAACATAACCGTTGTATTCGAGGTAGAAGAGAATTTCTAAGTAAACTTATATCCATTGCTTTACCTATACTAGGTAACGATTTAAGACAAAGTTCCTAGATGAAAACAAGAAGAAAAGTAAGAATTGAGACACATGGAAACAATTAAAAATTGTGTAGGGAAATCAAAACACAGGTTAGTTGTTATGTATACATAGCTGATGAGTTTTCGATGAAGAGAAACGTATATATCACATATACTAGACTAATAATAACTACCAGATAAAACTATCCAAAACAATAAGATAAATAGGTAGGCTAATGCGACTAACTTATCGACCATTTATGGACTGATAAACTAAACTGTGTAGATTACTGGCCATCGGTTCATGAAATCGAATAACAAACACAGGATCACAGGTTCTATAACACTAAAGCCAACGTATACGAACTTATATAAGTAGTACATTAGCATAATGTACCTTGGAAAAGCACGTAGAGTTATCATCTAATCATTTAAGGGTTCTGTAGGATGTGACGAAGAAAATGAACGATACAAATGAAGTAGCAATAGAAATAGAAGACCAACTGATCTCTAATGTAGAATGCAAAGACTATTTGCATGAAATGTCTGTTTAAGATAAAGTTAGTATATTTTATCTAGACTCGGTATAACTAGGCTGGAGAGAGACTAACCGAAATGTACTTTATGTTATCGTATACAATTAGAAAGACAAATGGTGGATCACTCAATCAATAGTATTATTTTAAACAGAGAACTATCTACATATTAGATATACTTTCCTTTGTTTCGGTCTTTCGACCCCAGTACAACGTTTCTACACGTCCATCGTAACTTCTCCACTAATAAGTCGGGTCGGGTATTAAATAGAAATTTGTTGAACGCTGGTGGCTGACACTCGATGTCCGTGTATCGTTGATGGAGGCCATAGCATATAGCAGTTTTCCAATCATAACAATCAGCAAGGCGTATCTGAAGCCTCAGGGGAACTGAAGTCCACGATGAAATTCAAACCAGCGTCACTCAGTATTATAATTAGCGGGTTGAATAGCTTGAGTGTCAACAAGGACGAAATTTGGGTCCAATGCTTTCTGCTTATTGTCTTCAACTAACACTAACATTACACATACTAAATATTCAGCTAATAGGAATTTGCATCCATTCCTATAAATGAAGCTTAACATGGTCAAGTTTGTTGGTCATCGAAGGCAACTATGCTTATGAAATAAATTTCTGCTGTATAAAAGATGGCTACAGGAGTTCAATTGCCTATGATTTAGAGTCAAAAGTTATAACAGCGATATCTACGTCACATTTGAAGCGCTAACATGGATACTGAACAATCACAATTGTGAAGAATACTCGTTACTAAGTGATGAGATTACGTTTGTTCGCTAGATTATTTCTACAGTTTACTTGTTACATAGTGATTGAATGAGTCTATCTACTGGTTAATCTAGAGTATGGAAACAATACAGTGCTGTAAAATGGTGTCGGTGACATGACTACGGATAACAAAAGGTTCGACTGACATTTATGATATCAGTGAGATGACCGACTGTTTAGCTAAGAATGACTGTATTATTATTATTATTATTAATCCTTTGGGCTCCTAGTGGAACATGAGGCTTCAGTGGCACGTCAACGTTCGCTCTCTTTCGAAAATGGCTCCACCACTGCCAACAACCTTTCATTCAATCCTCACACCATTTCCACTATCGCACCCCCTCGGACGCCCAACATGTCCTTGCCCATTTGGTTTCCACTCGACGTCTGGCTGACTTGACGCGTGCTGTCCATAAACCGTTTTTCCGATCCTGGCTGCTGTGACATCGTCATCTGTGCCTGTGTTGACTGCAGTTGAAACGGTGCTGCCCTGACTATGTAGGTAGGTGTAGATGAAAGAGACTACTTCCTTTAGGTTTCTCCCGTTCATGGTGATTGGTGCCTCTTATTGTTGATGCTGTTGTTGTTTGGGTATCTTCATCACCTGTCTTCTCTACGTTCACCTGAAGTCCCGTTTTCGCTATATACTGATCTCATTTTGTTTTAGCCTGAAATATTTAGTGTAGGTGTAGCATGAGAGGTTATATGTATCGAGGCCTAACGTTAAAGTTCTTAAAACTTTATGAATCAGTCATAGAAGCTTGATGTTCTAGTTGGTCACCATAGTGACAACGATGCATGAAATCACTAGCTTTCTGACCCTTCGAAATAGTCTATCATTCAATTTCTAGTACTCTTTTTACATGCATACTTCTGTGTTCAACATTATCGTAAAATCTGCTAGAAGTAATTGATAAAGTAAACAGAGACAAACTGAACAGTCGACGGGAATATCTTACCTGTTAAAATCTATCCGCTTTTGATATGGTTAATTGTCAAAAACATATTGAAAAATTCATGACATGAAAATATTTCAAAAACTTCATACTCATAAACTAATCACAATTGTATAAGTCAGGGAAAACCAACCTGAAATTAGTAAACCTTCATAAAATTGAATTATTCTAGTGCGGATTAGTAACTCACTTCGAGAGGTGGTTCCCGAAGTTCCAGTGAGAAGTCGTCACCGGTGAGTTCAAGCAAATTGACCATGAGGACAGTTACTCAACGATGGCATTGGATTGAGGTAGCGTTATATCATGAACTGACAGAAATAGGAAGTATGAAACATAGGATTCCAATTCGGTAGCTCGACAGTAACATGCTGGCCAACAGAACCTGAAGGTACTGGGTTCGATCTCTGGAGGGCGAAGTCATGGGTGCAAACTTCTGAGGAGTCCCATACTAGGACGAAACAGATATCTAATGCTAGCAAATTTTCAATGTCTCACCAACTGATGTCAGTCTATGGATGAATACCAATCAGGAGTTATTTGTATTATATATATATATATGCTCTTGAGGACATCGTGATAGCCACTCCATAACTCAGTGTACTCGTGGTTGTCGTCTGGGTGAGAATATCGGAGTAGATTATTGATTCTCGAGTTGTCAGTTTGGAGAGTCCACTCCCATTCCATCTGCTTTCGCAAATCCAAGCATTTCAATGTGATACCTTCTCATCTCATTTGCAATCTGGGCTGCCTTACTGGGTTCAAACATCGTACCGACATTCCATGTCCCCACGTTTACTTTCGCTTTCATCGAGAGAGAGAAGACACATCGGCCAATTGGCTTCCCGAAGGCTTTGACCAACCGACGTCATTTCGCCTCTCCGATTCCAGCATTATATATATATATATATATATATATATATTAAGCCGCATCATCCTGGAGAGGCTTAAAGATGCACCGGATTCAAAACTACGACCCAAACAGGCAGCCTTCAGGAAAAAAAAATCATGTGCAGACCAAATTGCAACGCTTCGCATCATCATAGAACAGAGCATAGAATGACAATCAGCTCTCTACCTCAACTTCATCGACTTCGAGAAGGCCTTTGACAGCGTTGACCAACAAGTAATTTGGAAACTGCTTCATTACTACGGAGTACCAAAAACCTTTATCCACCTCATTCAACAACTATATGAAGATGCCACATGCCAGCCGAGTAATTCACAATGGGAAGCTCAGTGATGCCACTGAAGTGAAGACAGGGACAGGAGTGAAACAAGGTTGCCTACTATCCCCCATGATATTCCTGATTGTGGTCAACTGGACTGGATCATGCAGCAAACAGTGGGCGGCGAGAAGAGGGGGATACACTGGCTAGGCTGCGGAAAAGAACCTAGAAGACTTGGATTTCGCCAACGATGACTTGTGCCTGATGTCACATAAACTTGAAGTACTACAGGCAAAAACTAACAAGTTGACAGAAGAGGCAGCGAAGACGGGACTTCAGGTGAATATAGAGAAGACAGAGGTGATGAAGATACAACACCAACAACAACAACAACAAACTCCAATTCACCGTCAACGGGAGAAACTTAAAGGAAGTAACCTCCTTCACTTATCTAGGAAGCACTGTTTCAACTACAGACAGCACAGGCACAGACGAGGATGTCAAAGTCAGAATCGGAAAAGCAAGACAGGCCTTCATTAATCTGAAACCTGTGTGGAGATCTTCTGCACTCCACTCAGCATGTGGAACAACATCCGGATTTTCAACACCAACCCAGTCAAGTCAATGCTTCTGTATGGCTCAGAGACTTGGCGCGTCACGAAAGGGATTTCCAATAAACTACAGACATTCATCAACAACTGCTGCCCACGCTGGCTCGCTACTGAAGATCAGATGGATTGCCAGAAAGAATAAGCAACAAGGTGCTCTGGGAACGAACCAACCAAGAACCTATCACCCAACAAATATGCAGGAGGAAGTGTAGATGGATTGGACATACACTGAGAAGGCCGACGGAGGACATCACGCGTCAGGCCAGTTGCTCGCGTGGAACCCCTATGGGAAGCGACGAGTTGGGTGTCCTAGCTGAGGGTGACATGGAGGAGGTCGTGCGAGGAGGAAATGAGAGCTTCTGAGCTGTCGTGGAACCAGGTTCAAAAGATCCCAGAGAACAAAATGGAATGGAGACGTGCTACTGAAGCCCTATGTTCCACTAGGAACCCAAGGGACTAAAAATAAAATAATAATAGTAGATGACAGTGTGGTCGGAAAGATGATCACGACGTGACAGACAATAATCATAAATACGATGAAAAAAAAAATCACTCACTTGTATCATTTTATTATCCATATCCAAGGCTAATTGTAGCATTGGTAGAACATAATTACGAAATTCTTTAATCGGGAATTTCGCACTTAATATGTGTAAATTTTGTAAAAATATTAATATGATCTGAATAAGCAAAAAAAAAGAGAAGAAAAGTATACAGATGATGAATTAAACTAGTACAGAATTACAAATTGAAAGGAGTCCATTGAAATATAACATAAACTGAACAAAATGGAAAGTTAGTTGGTGAGAGGTAATCAGTAGGAAACCATGAACTAGGTTTCATACTTATGAAATTTATTAGCAAGATGTATATGTATCCTCAAGAGAAGTGATGGCCCCTTTGAGATTCAAAGTTGCGTCAGCGACATTCTTATATGGACTCCAACCAATTAACATCCAGCAAAGTAAATCATTGTACCTGTAAATTGGAAGAAGGGTTAACTTGTCAAACTCTCAAACAAGGGAGACCTAAGTCTCTGCAAGAACTAACGAGGAATTATGCTGCTGTCCACCCCAAGCAAAATATTAAGCCACATCATCCTGGAAAGACTAAACAATGTGCTGGATTCAAAATTACCACCAGAACAGGCTGGCTGACTTCAGGAAGATCGAATCATGTGCGCATCAAATTGCAACGCTACGCTACACATCATCATAGAACAGAGCATAAAATGAATAGCAGTCAACCCAACCTAACTCTACCTCAACTTCATCCACTTTGAAAAGGGATTGGACAGCGTCGACCGACAAGTAATTTGCCAGGCAGCCACTTCAACACTACGGTTGAAGTGCCACAAAACTTTCTCAACCTCATTCAACAACCATATGAAAAGGTCACATGCCAGGTGATCCACAATGGAAAGCTCACTGACGCCTTTAAAGTTAAGACAGGGGTAGGACAAGGCTGCCACATACTATCACCCATAATCTTCCTGACTGCGGTAGACTGGACTCAACTGGGTCATGCAGCAAACAGTGAGGAGGGAGAAGATGGGCATACACTGACTGGACCGATGAAAAGATCCTAGATTTGCATTTCGCCAATAATGATTTACGTCTAATCTCTTGTCGCACAAACTCAAACATCTACAGGCAAAAACTAAAACGTTGACAGAAGAGGCACGGCAGCGAAAATGGGACTTCAGGTGAACGTAGAGAAGACAGAGGTGATGAAGATGCCCAAACAACAACAGCATCAACAATAAGAGGCACCAATCACCATGAACGGGAGAAACCTAAAGGAAGTAGTTTCTTTCATCTACACCTACCTACATAGTCAGGGCAGCATCGTTTCAACTGCAGTCAACACAGGCACAGGTGACGATGTCACAGCAGCCAGGATCGGAAAGACAGCAAGACAGGCCTTCCTGCATTAATCTGAAATCAATCAGTTTGGAGATCTACTACACTGAACTGAACTGCACTCAGCATAAAGCGTGAATGATATCCGGATTTCCAGCACTAGGTCAGTTAGTGCTTCCATATGGTGGTTGAGAGACTTGGCGCATTACGAACAGCATTTTCAACAAACTGCAGACATGCATCACATGAACAGCTGTAGCCAAACGCTCACTCGATACTGAAGATCGGATGCCCAGAATAATAAGAATAAGCAACAAGGAACTCTGGCCTGACTGGCAACAAACCAACCAAGAACCCATCGACCAACAAATATGCAGTAGAAGTAAGTGGAGATGAATTGGGCATACACTGAGAAGACCGACCGGGGACACCACGCGTCAGGCCGTCGAGTGGAATCCAAATAGAAAACGACGAGTTTGATGTCCCAGCTGACGGTGACATGGAGGAGATGATGTGAGGAAGAAATGAAAGTTGTGGAGCGAGGTTCAAAAGACTGCAGAGAACAGAGTGCAATGCAGACATACTACTGAAGCCGTATGTTCCACTAGGAACCCAAGGGAAAAATAATAATAATAATAATAGTAACCTCGCCTGGTTAACTAGTTTACTAGTTACTAGCCGGTCCTAAGCCCGGGTAAAGAGGGAAGGTTGGGCATAGGGCTAGCAACCCTACCCCGTAAAACAAATCTAACCGCTAAAGAAACTTCAAAGCACAAACAAAATATAAAAAATGAAAACAAACTTATTCCCCGCTGGAATCGGAGAGGCGAAATGACGCCAGTTGGTGAAAGCCTTCGGGAAGCCAATTGGCCGATGTGTCTTCTCTCGATGAAAGCGAAAGTAAACGTGGGGACATGGAATGTCCGCACGATGTTTGAACCCAGTAAGGCAGCCCAGATTGCAAGGGATGAGAAGGTATAACATCGAAGTGCTTGGGATTTGCGAAAGCAGATGGAATGGGAGTGGACTCTCCAAACTGTCAACTGGAGAATCAATAATCTACTCCGGTCACCCAGACGCCAACCACGAGCACACTGAGGGAGTGGCTATCATGATGTCCTCAAGAGCATCGAAGGCTCTCATGCAGTGGGAACCAATCTCCTCCAGGATCATGACAGCAAGATTCAACTCAAAAGGAAGAAAGGTCACAATCATACAATGTTATGCACCTACAAATAATGCAGAGCAAGAGAAAAAGGAGGATTTCTACAGACAACTTCAATCAACACTGGACAAGACGTCAGTTGGCGATATCAAAATTCTGATGGGCGACATGAATGCCAAACTGGGAGGGGACAACACGGGAAGAGAACTAACCATGGGTCGAGAGGCCTAGGTGAAATGAATGAGAATGGAGAATTGTTTGCAGAATTCTGCGCATTCAACGATTTGGTGATTGGAGGCAGTGTGTTCAGGCACAAAGATATCCACAAAGCGACATGGATTTCACCAGAGGACACACTAAAAATCAAATCGACTTTATCTCAATCTCAAGAAAATGGAGACGCAGTCTACTTAACACAAGGTCAAGAAGAGGAGCAGATGTAGGTTCAGACCACTACTAGTGCAAGGAACCTTCCAAATCAAGTTAAAAGCCTTCAAGGAAGCTGGTGATAGACCTCAATTCAAGTACAACACTCGGAAACTGAAGGATGAAACTACAAAGGAGATCTTCAAGGCAGCCATCAAGACAAAATGGGAGACATCGAGAACATCCCTGAAGAAACCTGTGTGGAAGAACACTGGAAGTCTTTGAAAGCTATGTGGAAAGAAACCTGCACAACAGTATTAGGAAGGAAGAAGAAAGAAGACAAGGAATGGATCTCGACGATACCTGGAAGCTGATAGAGGAGAGGAGGATGGTGAAGCAGAAGATAAACCAGTGCAAGGATGCTCAACGACAAGAGAACTGAGCACAATGTATAAAACACTGGACAAAGAAGTGAAGAAGAGTGCACGCAAAGACAAAAACTTCTACGAAACACTGGCAAGTGAAGCAGAACAGGCTGCAGGTAAGAGAGACCTGACGACATTGTATCAAATAACCAGGTTGCTATCAGGGAAAGACCAACACAGATGAAACCAATAAAAGATGAAGAAGGAAATTTAATTACAAAAGAAGAGAAACAGAGGAAACGATGGGCCGACCACTTCAAGAAGCTCTTGAATCGACCACCACCTGCACTTCGTCCAGAAATACCACCTGCAGCCGCTGAACTACAAGTGAACATTAATCCCCCAACGAAAATGGAAGTCCTGAACGCCATAAAGCTACTGAAATGCGGGAAAGCAGCAGGACCAGATGGAATACCGCCAGAAGCACTGAAAACAGATGCAGAGACAACAGCGGCCATGCTCACACCACTATTGCAGAAGGTGTGGAAGGAAGAGAAGGTACCTGACGATTGGAAGAAGGGTTACCTTGTCAAACTGCCGAAGAAGGGAGACCTCAGTGCTTGCAAGAACTGGCGCGGAATCACTCTCCTGTCCACCCCAAGTAAAATATTAAGCCGCATCATCCTGGAGAGGCTAAGAGCACTGGATTCAAAACTGCGACCGGAACAGGCAGGCTTCAGGAAGTACAAATCATGTGCAGACCAAATTGCAACGCTTCGTATCATCATAGAACAGAGCATAGAATGGCAATCACCTCTCCACCTCAACTTCATCGACTTTGAGAAGGCCTTTGACAGCGTCGACCGAGAAGTAATTTGGAAACTGCTTCAATACTACGGAGTACCGCAAACCTTTATCCGCCTCATTCAACAACTATATGAAGATGCACATGCCAAGTAATCCACAATGGGAAGCTCAGTGATGCCTTTGAAGTGAAGACAGGAGTGAAACAAGGTTGCCTACTATCCCCCATGATATTCTTGATTGTGGTGGACTGGATCATGCAGCAAACAGTAGGCAGCGAGAAGAGGGGGATACACTGGACGACGGAAAAGAACCTAGAAGACTTGGATTTCGCCGATGACTTATGCCTAATGTCACATAAACTTGAAGATCTGCAGGCAAAAACTAACAAGTTGATAGAAGAGGCAGCGAAGACGGGACTTCAGGTGAATATAGAGAAGACAGAAGTGATGAAATACCGCACCACCACCATCAACAACAACAACAAACTCCAATCACTGTCAACGGGAGAAACTTAAAGGAAGTAACCTCCTTCACTTATCTAGGAAGCACTGTTTCAACTACAGCGGGACGGACGAGGACGTCAAAGTCAGAATCGGAAAAGCAAGACAGGCTTCATTACCTGAAACCAGTGTGGAGATCTTCTGCACTCAGCATGGGAACAAACGGATTTTCAACACCAACGTCAAGTCAGTGCTCTTGTATGGCTCAGAGACTTGGCGCGTCACGAAAGGATTTCAATAAACTACAGACATTCATCAACAACTGCTTACGCTCGCTGCTGAAGATCAGATGGCCAGAAAAATAAGCAACAAGGAACTCTGGGAACGAACCAACCAAGAACCTATCACGCAACAAATATGCAGGAAGAAGTGGAGATGGATTGGCCATGCACTGAGAAGGCCGACGGAGGACATCACGCGTCAGGCCCTCGAGTGGAATCCCCATGGGAAGCGACGAGTTGGGTCCGAGGGTGACATGGAGGAGGTCGTGCGAGCAGGAAATGAGAGCTTCTGGGCTGTCGTGGGACCAGGTTCAAAAGATCTCAGAGAACAGAGGTCACTGGAGGCGTGCTACTGAAGCCCTATGTTCCACTAGGAACCCAAGGGACTAATAATAATAATAATATAATAATAAAATAATAATAATAATAATAATAATAATAATAATAATAATAATAATAATAGTAATAATAATAGGGAAATAAATGAAGGAAGTAGTTATAGTATTGCACAGAATAAATTTAGATGAACATTTAGCCTCTCTACGATCAACCCTCGAAGGTTCAAGAATACCAAGTAACTGTAACTTTTCACCTTCAGTAACAAATTTTGCCTATTATCTATCACATAGATCAATAAGTCATCATTTATGTTGTTGATGAATCTAGTTATTAAAGCATTCATAAAAAAAAACTACTTTATGTTTAAATAATCAGTCTTCTAGAATATATCACTTACTTGTATAGGCTCTTTCATTGACATAACAGGAATAAGGCGAGGTAACATATATTGAATAAATTCATCTTGAGTAACATTATCCATAATTTGTAAAACAGCCGGTAGAATAAACGGTACCATATGTGGATTGGAAAAGTCTTCAGCAATTTGAGGAAATACACGATATAGGCATAAACGCTGAATGAAAAATAATATACATGTATGTATAAGGAATATTAGTTAATATGGTGATATATATTTCGAAATGTGTAAATACTTGAAATTTTTTATATATTTAAAGAAAATTTCGTAGTTTGACATACTGGTATTATTGATGATTAAAGATGAAATAAAAACATAAGACACAATAGGATTTGAACTAGTGGCTTCTAGACTAACGGCATAGGCAATATACTAACTATTACAAGGCACAATTGTTGATCACATCTTAACTTCACCTCAATACTAGCTGTCATTGCATCATATCACTAATATCAGTCTATCAAACAACAGCTATCCTAGATAGCTGCATTGGAAATCAAATCGATAATCCCACCTTTCTAGTTCCCTTCAATTTGAATGAGAAGATCTGGTTAAACAGCTAGTTTAAATATAAACAAACAGATATTTACGTATTATACATTTATATGAACCTCGCCTGGTTAACTAGTTCACTAGTTACTAGCCGGTCCTAAGCCCGGGTAAAGAGGGAAGGTTGGGTACAGGACTAGCAACCCTACCCCGGAAAACAAATCTAACCACTAAAGAAACTTCAAAGCACAAACAAAATTATTCCTGACTAGAATCGGAGAGGCGAAAGGACGCCGGTTGGTGAAAGCCTTCGGGAAGCCAATTGGCCGGTGTGTCTTCGCCTCTCCAGATGGAAGAGAAAGTAAACGTGGGGAAATGGAATGTCAACACCCCGTTTGAGCCTACAAAGTCTGCCCAGATTGCAAATGAGATGAGAAGGTATCGCATTGAAGTGCTAGGAATCTGCAGATGCAATGGAAGTGGACTCTCCAAACTGTCAACTCGAGAATCAATAATCTACTCCGATATTCTCACCCTAACGATAACCACGAGCACACTGAGTTATGGAGTGCCTATCATGATGTCATCGAGAGCATCGAAGGCTCTCATGCAGTGGAAACCAGTCTCCTCCAGGATCATAACAGCAAGGTTCAACTCAAAAAGTAGGAAAGTCACAATCGTACAATACTACGCTATGCACCTACAAAAAATGCGGATCAAGAGAGAAGGAGGAATTCTATAGACAACTGCGATCAGTACTGGCAACATCAAAAGGCATTTCCAACAAATGCCTACACTCGTTACTGAAGATCAGATGGCGAGAATAATGAGAATAAGCAACAAGGAACTCTGGCCTGACTGGCAAAAAACCAACCAAGAAGCTATCACTCAACAAATATGCACTGGAAGGAAGTGGAGATGAATTGGGCATACACTGAGAAGGCCGACTGGGGACATCACGCGTCAGGCCAGGCACTCGCGTGGAACCCCGATGGGAAGCGACGAGTCGGGTGTCCTAGCTGAGGGTGACATGGAAGAGATCATGTGAGGAATAAATGAGAGTTTATGGGCTGTCGTGGAGCCAGGTTCAAAATATTTCAGAGAAGAGAGTGCACTGGAGACGTGCTACTGAAGCCCTACATTCCATTAGGAATCCAAGGGATAAACAATAATAATTTATTGTTATTGAGTTAGGTAGATGAGTGACAAGTTCTATGATGGTGTCTAGATTTCAAGCCGAAGGAGAGGAGGATAGTTAAAATCGATACTTTAACCCACGTCTTGATATGATCGACTGGTTATGCATCATAGTTCATTATTCTATAAGTTAATTGAATGAATAACAAAAAACTCAACTATTGGTTAACTGGTGTACGTATTATATTTCAACAATCTAACGATTCTTCAGTCACTTGTAGATAAATAAGTATGTACTAGGTGATGATTGAAGGTGAAATGAAAATTTGGACTGCGGCCGAACTCGAACCAGTGACCACCAGGCCTCCGGCCCGATGCTCTACCAACTGAGTTACCAGGTTCGACTGCTCACCAGATTTGTTTATTTCACTTCAATCACCGTGCGTTTTGCCCGACTACCGCATGAATTCGTGACACGTTATTACCGCTTGATGGTATTCACTGTGGTAAGCAGTTGGACCTCGCAGGTCAGTTGGTAGAGCATCGGGCCGGAAACCCGGTGGTTGCTGGTTTGAATCCAGCCGCGGTCCAAATTTTTATTTCACTTTCAATCATCCAGTATAAATACTAGTCTGCCAAACTATGGCTATTTCACATAGTTGAATGATAATATATATTATGCTCCCCCTCTCTAATTCACTAAGATTTGGATTAGGATGAGAAGTCCTAACTAGGCAGCAGCCAGTGTGAATGCAATCAAGCGGTAATAACGTGTCACGAATTCATGCGGTAGTCGGGCAAAACGCACGGTGATTGAAGTGAAATAAACAAATCTGGTGAGCAGTCGAACCTGGTAACTCAGTTGGTAGAGCATCACGCCAGAAACCCGGTGGTCGAAACGAAAACTTGAGTCACTGCAGGATTAGAATAAGTGTCTTCTAGATCACCGAAACGAAACAGAATGTCTTCAGTAACTATATGCAGGTTCTTGCGATAGGCAGTAAGTTATATCTATTGTGTCAGGGCTGCTTAGACGTTGATATATATAGAGAGCGGGTTTTGAACCCATAACCTATCGGTTTGAAATCAGGTGCCTAGACGAATGACTCTCAGTTCCACTATCACTGATCTAGTACTCTACCCATTTTCTGACCAAATTTTAGCTTCACATCAACCAACGAGGGTTTTAGTCGGTAAAGAGTTAAGTACTATAGCGTAGGTGATAGATCACAGGTTGATTAATCTGGAGACCTGTCGTTTGAATTTCGCTGCGACCCAGGTTTTCATTTTACCTTCAATGATCACCTCATATCAATAATACAATTCTGCCGAACGATAGCTATCTCAAATAGTCTCGCAAACGATAGAATTTTGTTGAAGGATAAAAATACGTTCTGTTATATCGAAAATATGTCCTCAAAGCATAGTGTTGATCACTTAAACCGTCTGCGTGAAACAATTTGTCAAAAGGATTCAAGTTGTTCGCTTCTTCGAATTCGTTTCTTTCATTATTGAAAAATATCTAGGGAGTGGAGTTAATTGGTTTAATAAGCGTCGGTTGTTTTCCTGGCTCTCATATAAATGTATCATTACTATTATTGTTTATCCCTTGGGTTCCTAATGGAATGTAGGGCTTCAGTAGCACGTCTCCAGTGCACTCTCTTCTCTGAAATCTTTTGAACCTGGCTTTACGACAGCCCACAAGCTCTCATTTCTTCCTCACATGATCTCCTCCATGTCACCCTCAGCTAGGACACCCAACTCTTCGCTTCCCATCGGAGTTCCACTAGAGCAACTGGCCTGAGCGTGATGTCCCCAGTCGGCCTTCTCAGTGTATGCCCAATTCATCTCCACTTCCTTCCAGTGCATATTTGTTGAGCGATAGGTTCTTGGTTGGTTTGTTGCAAGCCAACCAGAGTTCCTTGTAGCTTATTCTTTCTGGCCATCTGATCTTCAGTATCGAATGAGCGTAGACAGCTGTTGATAAATGCCAGTAATTTGTTGGAAATGCCTTTCGTAACGCGCCAAGTCTCTGAACCATACAGAAGCACTAACTTGACGTTGGTGTTGAAAATCCGGATCTTGTTCCACATGCTGAGTTCAGAAGATCTCCACACTGGTTTCAGGCTAATGAACGCCTGTCAGTAACAATAAATATTATTACTTAATTCAGCAACAATTTCATCTGTACCAAGTCAAACATTTCATAAGTAAAGATTCATGAAACTATTGTCCTTTACCGTAGATGACGTACACGGAATGTGATCCATAACAACTGATGATCTATCCAATGGGTTCATAGTTGACTGGTCTGATAGCTGAACTAAACCACTTCTTAAGTATGAATGATGATAAGTGCAGTATGAATTGAATGTAGTGTTCAGTAGTAGCAATAGTAGTGTAGTGGGTGGTACTGATAAGAATGGATATAAGTAGTATATGTAGGGACATTCTCGTAAATCATAGGCAATTAGCAGTGATGGGTAAATATTCTACCCAGAGGAACTCAAGAAACAATCTAAGCGTATTAAGAGCAAGTCGAGATAGAAGCATAAGAGGAAATGAAACACATTGTGCAAGCCAACAATGGACACAGACAGACAATATTGCTACAAGTCAGCCATCGTTGGGATTAATGGAGGATAGTCGCTATTTCAGGAGAGGGCATCAGCGTTGGGTAACCCTAGGCGACTATTCAGATTTATTAGGGATATCGGCAAAAAGAAGACGATGGTGAGTGAAGGCATCCTGGAACAGGATAGGACGGTGATAACCTCCCACGACAGGCGGGGCTAGAACGCTGGGGAAAACACTACGAAGTGCACAGTTTCACTGACCCCCAGCTTCGCTCCAGTCTCGCAACATCAAGCCTGAACAGGAATGGGAAGCAGTCGGAAAGGCTATATGGAACCTAAAACGATAGGAAGCAACAGAACCTGACATTTTGCCACCTGACGTTTTAAAGGATGGAGATAGGAAATTGCTGATTAGATTGACGGAGGTACTGTATAGTGAATGGGAATTACAGATAGTGGCGTCCGACTGGTGTAATTTTCTGACCAATTCATTGTGTAAGAAGGGAGATAAATCTTGTGGTAACTCTAGGTGACTAGTATTGTGACGAAGATCTTACGGTTCACAGTTATCCGACGTCTAACTGGAGCTCGAAAACAGCAAACTCGATAAAATGAATCCGATTTCAGACCTGATCGGGAATGGGTCGATCATATTTTCACCCTCCAACAGGTTCTGGAATACAGGCATACCTGCCATTTAGTGGCTGACACTTGCCATATTTCTGCACCTGAAGATTCGACTCAGTAGACCATGAGGTGTTGTGACTGTTTGTTTGTGAAGGCAGTACCCAGTAGGGATATAACGTTAATGTAAGCTCCCCACTGGAACTGACGCAACCCTGTCAGGAGACGAGCTCATAGAAAGTTGTCATGTGAACTGACGACAACTACCGGGGATACCCACTATCACTGTTCCTATTTAATTTCTTCATAGAAGTACTAATTGACATAACCTTAGGTACGTTGATTTCACATGGATGGACTACCTACTCCCCTATCCGGAGGTCATCTTTTTGACTTGGAATATCCACAAGATATTTCCGAATAAGTGAAGACGATGAAAAAGTTTACGGTGTTTTGCACGCGTTGAGCAGAAATCTGTGTATGTTTGGTAAGCATTTCGCATCTGTTAATATAAGATGATGCTCTATGTCATATCTCCTGCAAGTTCCCCCTGTTTAATGATAGCTAGTGAAGTGTTGGAATGTGTCGACCAATGCTGAAATCGCAGCTGGCATACAGAAAGCCCGTTTGGTATTTGCCAAATTGCGTCATCTTTGGTGCCGACCGGTGAGATATCCGACTATCTATCAAAGGAGAGTATATTGCACTACAGTCTGTTCTGTCCTGTTGAACGGCTGTGAGATATGACCATTGAAAGTGAAGGAATGAAGCGATTACATGATTTGATCATAGATATCTTCATAGCATTAGTCACGTTTGATGTAATCACCGTGTGAGCAATGTTGAGGTGAGACGAAGTGTAATTGGTAAGATAGGCAAGTTGATTGATGAGAATATTGATCTTCATCAGCTGAGATGGTTGGACTTGTACTGAGCATGCCGAGTCATCGCGTAGTTTAACGTGCGATGCTGGGAAAAGTTGGACTAGGTTGGAAAGGGTACAGGTTGGCCAGACCAACATGTGGCTTCAGTCAATGAAGTCACATACTGTTTGTCTGAGTGGTGTCAGGCGATGTAGGCCATTCGATTGGTGTCCTTGAGATCAAAGGAATCAGTGTTTGAGGACTCCTGGTGATATGGCTGGCAATCGGTCACAGTGGCGCCAATGTATTCACTCCTTAACATCTAAAGTTTGAATAATCGCAATAAGCGTTATTTTCAGAGTGTTTACTCTTTTACACTATCTCCTGGGATATTAATCCTTTTCTATCCACCTGTTCATTGTGTACTACTTTGAAGTGTGGCAACTTGTGCCAATGCAACTGTGTAAGAGATTTTAAGTTGATTTTGTCAGTCAGTCAGGCATATATAAGCTGACTGGTTGAATCAATTGAAAACATCAAGTTGTTTATTGCCTCACAACTTTATACAATTGAATATTTGGTAAAAATAGTCGATCGATTGGTACATCTAGCTTACAATTAGAGTTTTTACTGTGAATACTGTAATTCCCTATTCAACATGTACTGGTAGGTATCATAGATGAACTTTTTCCTAAAAAGATGCTGAATAAGCAATAAGCTTGTGCACTATACACAGTTTCCTACGTATAACGAATCAACGCATACAAATATATCTGTTATCGCATTTCCAATGCACACAACAGGCAAGTAGTATAATTTTGACAGAATTTTAACACAATGAAACTGAGATCATCTGTAGAGTCATTGGAATATATAACTGATTAAGGGATTCATCAGTACCGAAAGTGTAAAAGCCATGGGACCTGAAGTCCTGGGTCCGATCCCCGATAGTACGTAGTGCTGAGCAGCCGCAAATCAGGACGAAACAGCTGTTCAGTGCTCCTAAGTTTCCAATCGATGTCACAGTCAATGATGAATACCAGCCTGAAGTAAACAAATAAATCTCCACAAACCTTCAAATCGGAAGTGTAGGGCTGAACAAAACCTTACAGAAAGAAAAATTCAAGATAATCGTTTAACTAATGATACAATAATTTTATTACTTACTTTTGGTAATGTATGAATAGAATTTGGCAGAGATTTATAAAATTGTGATCTAGCCAAATTATCTAGTTGATACATATTATCTACACTGCGTAGAACAGACATGGATGCATCTTCAAAATATGGTGTCTAAATGTAGGTTTACACAATAGAACAAAACAGAAAAAAAAATTCAACATTGAATAAGTATTGGGAATGGAGGGAAAATTAAAACATAAAAAGAGATGTAGCACAATGCTGTACAATAAATGAAATACGAAGAGTTTACACCTGATATCTGCATAACAGATACAGATGATCACAGCAGTCTGAGGAAACTTGAGTGCTGATCGAGTTGTAAGGGCGTTTAACACTTCCCGGCTGCCCACACTGTAGTTGGGTTATTTCTTCTTAAGGTACCTGAAAGAGATTTGTGTGAATGCTTTTTAAATATGATTATTTTGAACTTTTGTATTTTTGCGGCCGGATGATTGAAAGGAAACGACAAATGAACCAACATCACCGGCCTGGCAGACCATGGGAGATAGTGGAGTGTGTTATTTTTGGGGTCGACCTCTTCTAAGCCCCCCTTCCACTGAGAAGGCAACATCAGCATGGCACTGCTAGTCATCCAAGAGAAACACCTTACTGCTATCATATCCCATCCAGCTAACAGCAGTACGACTTCGCCCTCAAACCCACCCATCATAGTGTAGCAATTTACACCACAACGGTAACAGTGTGACTAGTCAATTGGAAGGCTTCTGAATGTTACATCATTTCAATAAACTCTGACTCTATGAGATTTAAGACTTCAGACTAAACAAAATCGATGAGAATATTATTGACAAAATTTGACACAAGATTTAGTAATACGCTTACAACATATAATTATGATTACAGTTATACAATGAATTTCCGGTCTCTGTGACTGAGCAATACTTCAGAAGATCAAAAGTTAAGCTTCATAGTTTGGTGACAATGTATAAGTCAGGAATACTGCTCACAAGTCTTTCTACACATGCGAATCTCATTATATTTAAATTCTAGGTAACTAAAACGTTAAACAGATCTAAGAGTTTTCAGCTGTTTGTTGGGGTCATTAGTAGACATTAAGTTACTCTAATTTTGCCATGTTGTATAAGCAGTGAGAAATCGTGCATTCATAAGGAAAGTCTACAGACGTTACATTATATTCAAATAACTTGTTAATTAATTTACTAATCCATACTAAGTGGAGCTGTTGTTCATTAGTCTAGTCACCTGGATTCCAACTGAATGATAAGGGGGTTTGAACTCAACTTTATCTACCGAGATTTGGGTGGCATTAAAACATCACGTTTACTTGATTGCTTATTGCACTAATGTGTACTAGGTTACTGAGTGCATATCGATTTTTATCTTTGAGTTTCCTTCTGGAAGAGAATGATGTACATACATTGAATCGACTGAGATGGTTGGAACATGTGTCACGTATGCTTAGTCGCCATCTGCCTCATCACACAATGTTAGCCGAAATAGATCCAGGCTGGAAAAAGGCTTGAGGTGGCCACACTAAAACATGACATCAATGTATGAAGTCTTTCACTGTTGGTTTGAGCCATCTGAAGCGATGCAAACTAGCCAATTGCAGTCCGTGGGACAAGAGAAACCAGTGGTTGGAGACTGTAGGTGATATGGCTCAGCATTAATATCACTCCTTTTGACCGATTTCTTTTCCCTTCTTCATCTTCCATTTTATCGCCTTTTTACTTGATGTGCTGATCTGAAGTGTGTGAAAACTTGGATCGTTACGCAGTAATGCCTCGTTCTATGTTGATTTGGATGGATGGAAAGATTAATTGAACTGACCCTGATGGGCGATACTGTTGTTGAGTTCAGTAACAAGTAAGAAGAAGGACTCCCGAGTATAATCGGTAGTTATAAACTATTCATGCAATTTTCTTATAAACGCTACTGTTGTTAGTGATTAGTTTTCTTCTATATATACTTAAACACTGAAAACTGAAATGAATTTTTTTCAAATGCTACGCAAGTCTTTCTATGGTTCAAAAGGAATTAATATTTATATTATCTTGAGATTACGATTTGGCCACTCCAATCTATAAGCAGGTGACGTTGAGCTTTGAACCCATAATCTGTATTATGCTAGAGAGTCAAAAGTCCAGTACACAGATATCGAAACGTGTTATTGGGTTACATTGTTTACAATTTCAACAGTTCAATCTATGAGTAATCGAGAGAGAAAAAAGTAAATCAGCAACCACTCTCAATTTTGTACAATAGGCAATGAGTTACATTTATTGTATGAAAGCGAGTGATATTCTTTCTACCTGACTGTTTAGAAGTCGATAGGTTGAACAGAGTTCGAATCCGTAACCCACTGATAGAAATTTCAATGCTTGAACCAATTAGCCACAGTTCAACGTCATATTAGCTTCATTCTCAGCTATCTGAAACAAAAACTACCTATCTTACACTTTTTCGTACAGTGGAATGAATCAGGAAAAACAAAAAACAGGTGTGAATAATCGCATATACAATGATAACCTAAGATCTTACTTTCAATGCATTACTTTTGGTTTTAAGAATATACAAAAACGTATACAAACTACTTCTGTTTTTAACGAATCCACGTTCAATTTGAATAGGCTTTTCTCTATAGGTAACCTCAGAAAACCCAAGAAGTTTTCAAAGACCTTGTTAAGTCATGAATGCAGCTGAACAGTAACACTGTCTGGCCTATTCTATTCACCATGTTATGATTGTTTTCTCTGTCATATGAATAGTTGTAAAGAGATAAATGGTCGAGAAGCTTTTTGACAGTTCCTATGGTTTATACAACGTAATGATTTAGTTGACTTGTGTACCTGTAGCTTGATGGTCTAGGCACTTGACTTTCAACTACCCAGTAGGTCATGGGTCCTAACTCCACTTCACTTACCAAGTTCTAGGCAGCCAGATATTATCACTTACACACACACATCAGAAGCGTGTGGATGAGAGTCTAATGGGACAAAGCAATAGTGATTTGTTGAAAAGAGGGAGTATTCTCAGTAACCTTCATGATTTTATAATTTTATGACCGGATTTTTAATGTTGTGCTCTTAAATAGTTACTTCGTAACTAGTAAACTGTGATTTCAAACCTATAGGGCTCACCTCAAATGGAACAATTTGTTTGGACCGTTAGACCAAACTTATAAAAACCATGGCTTATGAATTCATCACATGAGTTTGTGTTTCTGACAAAGAAGTAGTATAATCACAAGGCATTCGATTTCATGAGATCAAAAGATTTCAGGTTAAGCAGTCTACATTATCGAAGACAAAGTAAAACAGAATGAACACTAGATTAAACATCTATCTTGAACTTACTCTAAGAAATTGAACTGCATCTGGACGAATTTGAGGATCGGTTGAAATCATCATTTTAACGTATTCCTTCAAATTATTTGGTAGATTCAATCCTTTACTGGATAACATTGACGGCAGCTTATACATTTAAGAAAGTAAATGAATGTAATGAAAGGAAACAGAAAATAGTAGTAAACAGTTTGTTCGCTAAAGTATTTCATTGCAATGAACTCTCTGGACGAGTATTATTTTCCACAAAGAAGCGAACTACTTATGAGTAGCACATTTCAGTTTTTCTTTAAAAAAAGGGGAACTACCGGTTTTAGTGAACTAACAATCGATGTTCCATTGGAGCGACAGGATGTTGTAAGACTTACTGAGTAATTACTGTCGGCGCTTTATTATAGTTTATAGGTAAACACTACCTTTCAGGTTATTACATCGGCATATCTTCCCTTCTGTAGGCTTTAACTTTTTCTACTGATAATTATCGAAACGGAATATAAGTAGCTGGATTTATATAATCAAATATCCACAGCTTAGATAATCCTGTGAATTACCACAACGAATACTTAACGCAACGCAGAGTAGTATGAATGTCTGGCCAATAAACGGCCACCTAGACAACTTGTGAATGATAGGAATTTTAAACGGTGAACAGAGAGTATTTGTAGTTAAGGTTGAAAAAGATCATTGATTAGCGTTCTCCAAAGTATCATATTTTATCGTAAACACTTCTTCAACAGTCTAGCCAAGATAACTTCATCATCATCATCATCATTAACCTCATGCACAATGTTAAATGTACTGGATAACCTACCATATTTTACTAGGGATAAGCAGGTTAGGATATGAAAGAGCAATTTCAGAGTCTTTACCAGTAGAGTAGGATAGGGCGACAGTGTTGAAAACTAACTTAGTTGGGTGGAGGGAGAGATTGATAACCGAATTTTTGTTTATCGAATCAACACCAAATACATGTACTTGTCCCAGATATATGAAAAATTCTACTACCCTTGTCATCATAGAGAAGTAGAGAAAATTAAGAATATATAAAGTCTGTCTCGAAGTTGTGGAGTTACCTGATATGAATATGGACAATAAATTATGTCTGAAACGTTATCCAGTAAACGCTATTGTTTCGCTGTGTGATATTTCTAATAAACATACTAAAATGGAATTACAATCGACCAAAGTGCCCAAGTTTTACTCTTATATTAATCTTAACGAGTTAACCTAATTACCGTGTAGAAGCCACTAGGATATCAAACCAGCGAAAATCAACACAATCTGTATAAGTCGTTGAAAAAGGAGCTTGAGAAATATGTATATCCGGATATTATTGAAGTAGCAAGTAAGACACCATCAACTTGCATTCAATATATGAACAGAATTGTTAATTTGAATGTTAGATATCAGAAGTCAGACGGTAGAAAACTCTGATCCTGACGTTTTATGTACGAGATATGTCTGAAACTATTTGGTAATATCAATTTCCTCATAGTTACAAACCATGGTCTTCTATAAACTGATTTCTAACAACATTTACCACCGAAATATAAAATGTGCAACACAGTACTGTGTCTCCCAGCTTGATGATTATATTACAAACTTGATCGATGGACTTCCGCAAATACTGAGCACTGCAAACCGATCATCATCATCATTATCAACATAGGACCAGGCATTACTGCATAACGGTCCGAGTTGCCACACCTCATATCAGCACATCAAGTAAAAAGGTAGTGAGGTGAAGGATGAAGATAAGTGAATGCAGTCAAAAGAAATATAAAGTACGAGAAGAAAGGAAAGAGGAGTGACAAAATGGTGAGATTCGGTATAGCGTCGTTAAGATGAGGATAATGTGTGTATACATCTGCGCCACTGACATCGGTTCTCAGCCATATCACCTAGGGTCAGTCTCCAACCACTGGTTCCTCTTGTCCCACCGACCCCAACCACCTAGTAGCCTGCATCGTCCTACATGGCTTAAACCAACAGTCACAGACTTCATACATTGGTGCCATGTTTTAGTCTGGCCACCTCAGGCCTTTTTCCAGCCTGGACCAACCTCAGCCAACATTGTGTGACGAGGCAATCGGTGACTAGGCATACGTAGTACGTGTCCCAACCATCTCAGTCGATGAAGGTCCACAACCTCGTCGACTGACTTACCTCTTCTCCCCAAAACTCTACACCTGACTTCTGCATTACTCACATGGTGACACCACGGAATACGTCCTATATTACGAAGGCAACGGTCGTCAAACACCTGAAGCCTTTTTATATCCTCCACTTTCAGTGGCCATGTTTCACAGCCATATAGTAGAACAGAGCGGACTGCTGTGCAGTGCACGCGACCCTTAATAGACAAACGAATATCACGGCGGCGCCATAGGTGGCGCAAATTGGAAAAAGCCAATCGAGCCTTTTGTATCCGTGCAGAAATTTCATCGGCAACTAACCCACCAGGGTTGATCCTACTTCCCAGGTAAGTGAAGTGGTCAACACACTCAACCACTTCACTCTCTATTGTTAGCCGCGGTACCGCTGAAGACCAGTCGTGGAGCAAAAATTTGCATTTGGGTGGTGAAAATCGCATCCCAAACATTCTCAAATTCCCACTCAAAGTGTTCAGAAGACTCTGCATCTTGTCAGCGTCTTCACCTAACAGGACTATGTCATCTGCATATTCTAGATCTAAAGAAAATTCACCTGTGATTAGGTCAACCTCTGTGTAATTAGGTGACGAGAGGGAAACCTCCATAAGAATATCTATGATAAAATTAAATAAGAATGGAGAGAGTGGGCATCCTTGACGGACACCACTTGATGAGTATAGCTCTCTGGACAACTCGCCATAGGCTCTTACATGCCCACAAGTGTTCGAGTAGAGAGCTTTCAATAACGTGATGTACTTACTAGGCACACCTTTCAGTGACACTGCAAACCGAACAGTTATATCATTCACTAAATGTTAGGTGATCAATTCTTGTCATTTTAATGTATTAACAACGCTCTGAATAATCTTATCTAGTGTAATTGAATTCTGGTTAACAAGTCGATTTTTCACTGGGTTACAAAATTTCAACAGTAATCTATCACATGTTATTCCTGATTTCAATGATTCCGGTTAAAAAAATGACCTTTTGAAACAACACAATCTGCGCAGTGTTCAACTGTAAACACTGATTAGCTTTTATGATTTCAAGCCAATTAGTTACTAAACATGTACAATTAAATCAAAACTAACGGATAGCTGCTACCTTGACGTGGTGTTCAGGCTTGTATGCTACAGTGACTCATCGAGTTATGCTGGTGGAACGCTTGTTCTCTCGAGATCTCACAATACGAGAGTGATCTGTTGCATAGTGGTAAGACAAAAAATAGTTACCGTTATACCGTAAATTACTACGTTATGATCGGGGTTTGAAGGCGAAGGCCTACTGCTAGTTGGACTGTACTGTGAGAACAGTAAATTATTCCCCTTCAGTGATAGTAGTGCCACGCGAATGCTTTCTTCCAATGGGAGGATTCGTTAGAAAAGATCGATCATAACAATAACACACAAGCCGTCTAACCACCCGCCTGCCAATGCTTCCGACACGGAGTCATAGCCAGACACGAATGTAACACACCTCAAACAGATGTCCTCGCGCTAACCCTTTTTTTCCAGGTACCTTAAGAAGACCTAGCTTTCCATGGTGTGGGCAGTTGGGGAGTTTCAACAGCTTTGACAACTCTGCTGACATTCAAGTTCCTTGAGAATATTGGTGAAATCACAACCACAACAACTTAAACGAATATCATATATATATATATATATATATATATATATATATATATATATATATATATATATATATAAGGATCGTAATCTTAGATTATCTTTATCCAATGAAAGATTATTACTATAAGTGTATAGTCGAAATTAAAAAGTGTGAAAAATCGAAAAAAAAGAGGATACAAGTTGAAACAAAATATCAGGCGAAATAAGTTACCGTCCCGCTCCCCTCTCCTTAAATGGATAACTTTCAGTAATTTGAAACTAGTCATAGTGACCACCAGATTTTGCTGACAGTAATGTAAATATTACAGAGTCATTTGGCTCTTTTTGACCGAAATCACTAATTGTATATCCAGATGCATTATTCAACCTAAAACGTAGAATGGTTTAAGTCAACTTGACACAGCTAACTAACTTCAACAGGCTGGTGTATTTTAAAGCATATGAGCAGCTTAGCTTCAAGTTTGCTGTAGTTTCAATATTCAACACTCGTATATCAAGGTAGTATTCAACAACAGTTAAAAACCTGCGAAAAATGGACAGCTGTTTCATCCTAATATGGGACTCGTAAGCAGTGCACATTCAGGACTTAACCACAGACCGAACCTAGGACTTCCAGCTTTCATGGCAAGCAATTCTCCTCTCAAACAGTATGTTGGAATCCAACCGTCAACACTTTACCACTTTCATTCATTTGCGATATAACGAGGATTTGTCGATATATTCCACTTGGTTGACTCCACAGGTCAAGACTTCTCATTAGAACTTAAGAACATTCCATGATGAATACGACCTTGACATCAATCAATTGACAAAAGGTTCCAAATTGAATCGATATATATTGAGCCAAAGTACATGAGGAGAGAAAGTAAACACTTCAGAATATTTACCACTTTATGGGTTGAAACTTTTGAATTTTATATCCTCAATACACTTCTAAAGTACACTAAGTCCATGATACACATAACAGTCTATTATGAATCACTATGATCAAGGGGTTACAGTGATGTTCAATGCAACAGTTCAAGCTAGAACTGTGAATAGGAGAGGTGTGATTATGTTTCTCTGTTTATCATGATCTTAGTAATGTCCGTCGAGTTGTGCCCGTCAAGGCTACCCACTCTCCCCATTCTTATTCAATTACATCTTACATATTTTTATGGAGGTCTACCTCTCTTCACCTGACTACACAGAGGTTGACCTAATCACAGCAGAATTCTCGTTAGACCTACAATACACAGATGATATAGTCTTGTTAGATGAAGATGCTGACAAAATGCAGAGTCTTTTGAACACTGAGTGGCAATTTCAGAATATTTGGGATGTATTTCTCATCACCAAAATGCAAATTGTCCCTCCAGAATTGGTCTTCAACGGTGCCTCACTGCGACTAACAATACAGTGTAGTGGTTGAGTGTGTTGACCACTTCACTTACCTGGGAAGTTGGATCAACCCTGACCTGGTGGCTGGCTCAGTGGCCGGTGAAATCTCTGCACGAATACAAAAGACTCGGTTGGCTTTTGCCAACTTATGCTACCTGTGGCGCCGCCATGATATCCGATTGTCTATCGAGTGTGGCGTGTACTGCACAGAAGTCGGCTCTTTTCCACTCTATGGCTGTGAAACATGGCCATTGAAGGTGAAAGAGATTAGAAGGCTGGCTGGCTGGCTTCAGGTGTTTGACCACCGTTGCCTTTGTAGTGTAGACCGTATTCCTTGGTGTCACCAAGTGAGTAACACAGAAGTCAACTGTAGAGTTTTGGAAAGGAGAGGTAAGTCAGTTGACACGGTTGTGAACCTTCATCGACTGAGATGGTTGGGACACGTGTCACGTATACCTAGTTGCCGTCTGCCTCGTCACACAATGTTGGACGAAGTAGGTTCAGACTGAAAAAGGCTCGAGGCGGCCACACTAAAGCATGGCATCAATGTATGAAGTCTTTCATTGTTGGTTCGAGTCATGTGGGGCGATGGAGACTAGTCGGTTAGAGTTGGCAGGACAAGAGAAACCAGTGGTTGGATACTGTAGGTGATATGGCTGAGAACCGATGTCAGTGGCGTAGATATATACATACATTATCGTCATCTTAACGACGCTGTGCCGAATCTCACCATTTTCTCATTCTTCCTTTCTTTCTTTTTTAGTATTTTATATCTTTTTGGACTGAATTTTCTTTCCTTCATCTTCCTGTTCACTGCTTTTTCTTGATGTACCGATATGACATGTGGCAACTCGGACCGTTACACCTTAATGCTTGGCCTTATGTTGATTTTGATGGATGGATGGATAGAGTATTAATATGTTACTGCGTTTTGCTCTACCACTGAAAATCACAGTAATCATATGATCTTTTTCATCATCTCGGTGTAGAATAGTATGGGTCACCTATGAATCATTTCGGTGCTTCTCAGGAGTTAGTAGTCTGCCAATGTGAACTAGTTTGAAACCGAAAAGAAACATTATAGAATGGAGGTGTATGAGAAAGTATAAATTTTTTTTATCAAGATATACTGAACAATATTAATGGATTCACTCGGTTGCTTGTAAACAAACATAACCCACAGTATAGACGTTAAATAAGTAATACTATGTATGCCTATGTTACTCAGTAACGGTTAGTACGTGTTTCGGCCTATTTAGGATTCACCAGTAGGCAGAACCTGTGCCCCAGTAAGTAAATGTTTTACTTTCTAATGAGTAGAGTATTTCTCATCTAACCCTGACGTCTTATTAGTTCATCATTTGATAGTAGCATTAAGAACAATGAGTGTTTCAGTCAATCAACAGACTGTTTTATTAGGCCAACAACTGTTTACAAATACTTTATCATAATCCTTTTTTATAACGACCATTTTCTCTTTAAAGGATTCCCATGACATACTACAAAATGAAACCATTGAAAAGTTGAAGTGTATTCATCCTAAAAATTGTCTTCACTTCTGACATAAAACATATCAAGTTGTTATTCATTGTAGACTGACATCAGTTGGAGGAACAAAAGAAACCTGGGAGCACTGAACAGCTGTTTCGTCCTAGTGTGGGACTCCTCAGTAGTGGGCACCCACGACCCCGCCAGGGACCGAACCCGCGACCAGCGCGTTAACATTGAGCCACTGGTTTAGAATCCAGTGCTCCATAAAATATATGACAAATTATTGGGCTAGTGTACACTACTATTTATTTTACGATTTATTATGCTGTTTTTAGAGAATTGGATTATTAATTAAATTATCTACAGCTAAGATCCCCTAAAACTAGTCCTTCATAGAATGTTGCACAGGAGAACAAAGATTGTAATTGTATTGTGTGTATATTTTAGACAGTTTCATCAGTTCACAGTTCATAAAAACTCAATCACACAGTCATTAAAAATATTTACATTTACAATAGCATTCAAAAGATAGCCAATAGGGTTATAGTGTTGGACAAGGTCACATAGAACGACAATAACCAATGAGAATATCACTACACATGTAAAGCATAATTCACGACTCGTTCAAACATAAACTCAAGGTATGCATCATATTTCTGTTCTGAACAGTCGCAAATAATCACATTTATTTTTTAAGATAAGCATTCATCATGAACTGACATCAAGTGGAGAACTAATGGAAACCTGAGAGCACTATACATCTGTTTCATCCTAGTATGAGACTCTTCAGACTCTGGCGAGTAATCTACCAGGCAGATATCTACAATAATCACATTTCAAGGGGTATGTGTTTTGACAAAAAACGTTAAATACTCAGAATACAAAGAAAAATTAATGCTATCCAGTTGAAACATTAAAAACCTCCTCATGAAACACGGCAATAAAAAAAAACTCCAAGTAGATTACTTACCTGTTTTACAGTTCGTTTATAAGCTGAATAATCGTTTCCAACGTATAGAATTGATTTTCCACGATTGAATAGTGTACAGATAAGAAGACCCAAGGAGAACATATCGCTAGCAGCAGTAACTTCTCCCTGCAAACATCATACAATAAAATGGTAATAAAATCTACACTGTATCACGAATATAGTTTATCGACTGAATAAAACCACTAACACTCGCTGATAATATACACGTTCATGCACTACATAATGAACTATGTTTATTATCTTAGGGTATAATGATACTATTTAAGTACCTAAACCTTAGTAGGCAGAATCGGTTTTCAGTCTATGATCACCTTGAACTACTTCCACAGGTAGTCAAAGTGATAACCAATATGATGCTACTCCCTGTCTAATTCAGTTAGGTTTGGTTACGAAGTCTTGAGTTGGCAGCCGACGTGAGTTTATCGGTTTACATTTATGTGTGTTGCTATACATACATAGAGAGGAATAATCGAGCCATAAAGGTGAGGATGGGAGTATATGTACCTAAATCGGTTCAAAAACAAATGGAGTGTGAAACAGTGATAAACGCTGGTGGAACACGACCCTTTTCATTTATAGGTAAGCATATCATAGAAAAGGTCACAAAATTAATCTTCAAACAGAATTCAAAGCTTTATATGGAAACCAGTCAAGGACGTAAACTGAGATCTACGAAAGCCCTAGCTATATGCGAATCGAAACCACCTTTATGTGTGCAAAAGAGCAATTTGTTCGTGTACACTACACCTACCTTGCTAGGTAAACCTTATTCTCTTACCAAGATGACGATCAACTATGTCATTCTTCCCATTTTTTCTCATCTATCTTAATTTCTACCCGCTGTTTATCTTAATCATTCTATTTGTCCTCCCACCCTTCAGTTCAATGACAAACTGATTTCAGGTTGGTATTCATCATACACTGACATCAGTTTCAGCACTGACAGAAGTAGGAAATACGGGTCACTTTTATCATCCCCTTTCACACATAGGTCATTAAGTCTTACTTTTAACTGGCAACAATCGAAAAGTTCAAAATTTGAACGGTCTCTATTACGACATAATATTCATACTAAGCTGGTTCATATGTTGGGGTTTCTCGGAAGTCAACCATCAGTGTAATGAGAATATATGGTTTATGAACCTTGATTATCATAATTATTTGTTCCTTGGGTTCCTAGTAGAACACAGGGCTTCAGCAGCACGTCTCCATTGCACTCTCTTCACTACAGGCTTGTTAACTTGGATCCACGACTCCTCAAAAGTTTTCATTTCTTCCTCACACCATCTTCCTCCATGTCACTCTCAGCTGGGACACCCAACTTACAGTTTCCCATTTCGATTCCACTCGGCGGCATGGCCTGACCTGTCCCCAAACCATCTTCTCAGTGTATGCTCAATCAAATCCATTTCCATTTCCTTCTACTGCATATTTTGTGGAAAACAGTTTCTTGGTTGGTTCGTTGCCAGAGTTCCTTGTTGCTTATTCTTTCTCGCCATCTGATCTTCAGTATCGAGTGAGCGTTTGGCAACAGCTGTTCATGTGATGCATGTCTGCAGTTTGTTGGAAGTGCTTTTCGTAATGCCCAAAGTCTCCGAATCATATAGAAGCACTGACTTCACTGAATTGGTGTTGGAAATCCGGATATTGTTCACGCTTTATGCTGAGTGCAGTTCAGTTCAGTGTAGTAGATCTCCAAACTGATTGATTTCAGATTAATGCAGGAAAGCCTGTCTTGCTGTCTTTCCGATCCTGGCTGCTGTGACATCGTTATCTGTGCCTGTGCTGACTGTAGTTGAAACGATGCTGCCCTGTCTATGTAGGTAGTTGTAGGTGAAGGAGACTACTTCCTTCAGATTTCTCCTGTTCATGGTGATTGGTGCCTCTTATTGTTCGTGCTGTTGTTGTTTGGGTATCTTCATCACCTTTGTCTTCTCTACGTTCACCTGAAGAAGGTCCCGTCTTCATTCGAGGCCTCGCCTCACCTCACCTCTTCTGCCAACTCGTTGGTTTTCGCCTGTAGATTTTCGAGTTTGTGGAACATTAGACATCATAAACCATCGGCGAAATGCAAATCTTCTAGGGTCTTTTCATCGGTCCAGCCAGGATATGCTCCTCTTCTCCCTCCTCACAGTTTGTTGTATGATCCAGTCGACCACAATCAGGAATATTATGGGTGATAGTATGTGGCAGTCCTGTCTTACTCCTGTCTTCGCAGGTCACAGATAGAATAACACAATTTTATTGGCTAAATCATATACAGAATCGTCCAATAAGGTTATTTTGTCCACATATAAACATAAATCAAAAATCTTAAGGTAGTATTCATCACGCACTGACATCAGTTGGAGAAACATTGGAAACCTGGAAGCATTGAACAGCTGTTTCGTCCCAGTATGGAACTCCCCCGACCCACAGGCTGAATGATCAACATGATCACCGTGAAACCTGAAGGTTCTGAGTTCGATCTCTAACAGAGTTGTGGGTGTGTACTACTGAGAAGTCTCATACTAAGACAAAAAAGCAGTCTAGTGCTCCCAGATTTTCAATGGTTCCCTAACTGATGTCAGTCCGTGATGAATAATATCTCGAAATTACAATCCCCATCCATCTCAAAAATAAATCAAATCTGACACAAAAACACTTTCATCTCAACGGTCGATGACCTAAAATGTTGGTTTCCATTTTTGGCCGCTTCCTATCATCTATCATCTCAGGAACTCCAGCCAAGCAGTCTACATCTTTGCACATGGGTGAAGCCAACAATCAGGGACTTCATTGACTGGTGTTACGACTTAGTCTGGCCACCATGAACCCTCTTCCAACTTAATCCAGCTTACCCTAGTATGGCACGTCGAGGTAAATAATGGATCGGCATACGCAACAACAACGATAACTAAGAGAATATTATGAATAGTTGATACACATTACACTGGTAAATAAATCTCGATACATATCATCACAGTATGCGCTAAAGACATAACCTGACATACAAACTGACTAGAAAATATAAACTTGATATAAATAACACATCGATCAATGGTTGTAACTCTTGTCTCACCAAAACGAAGACGGAGAATCAGTAAAAAAAGAACAGAAACACGACACGATGAAGAAAACAAAAAAGATACGCAACATCAAAGAATTTGTGACTCACTGACCTACACACTTGGTCTTCAATCGACAGGCTACGGGTTCGAGCGCCGACCCGCCTACCGAGGCCTGGGCAGTCAGATAGCATCATCAGCTTATATACAATAGGTGTGCCTAATTGGCTACTGTACGAATATGCACAAGGTTTCAATTTGATTCGCACGATGGAGATCTTTTGTGAAATATTCAATCTAAAACTACTGTTTTCAGTGCCCTTTAAAAGTTGTCATAGAAAACTAAAGCCTTTTTCATAGATGAGAATAAAAACCAATGGCTTTATGAATCAACGTCACTTCCACATTACATTCATTGGCTTAGGGAATCAACTTTTAGATAGATGGTCTCAAATTTGAATCGACTCTGGTTCAAATAATAGTCTAGTAAATAAGCCCGTGAATCAGATTGTATTACATTACGTTACTACTCCATAACAGCGCCTCATCTTTGTCACCTCTACAGCGGATAACTAAGCATGCATGTTTCAAATAATTTAGTCAATAAGGATTCATAACTTCGCTCGACTGACATCTCTACTGTTTAACAAACCCAACCGATAGCTATAGCTGCTACTTTGATGTGGTGAGTTGGGCTTGCGTATCTCAATGACTCAGTGGGCTATGCTGGTTGAAACCATTGTTCCTCGAGGTCGTACCATACCAGGAGAGTTCACTGCGTAAATGGCTTACGCTATTTTAACGATTCAAGAGCTAAGTTGTACCGTTGGCTGGACAAGATATAATGAAAGGAAAATATAAGTAATGCACGCAGCAACCTTGTGCACATTCATGTAGTAAGCAATGAGTCACACTTATTGTGTGAGGGCTACCGATACTACTTGGCTGCCCAAACCTCGGTAGGTGTAGGGCTGTCCGAAACCATGACCTATTGGTCAGTCGAAGATAACAAGCAGTCTCTGCTGATGCTAATTTCAATGGTGGTGAAGGTTGGGAAACGTTAACCTCAAAAACAGCACACTCTTAGAAAAAGGTGTTATGTGATCAGTTTCAACCAAACGCCTTTGGAATTTGACGTCAAGCTCCTCGAACAGATACCTTAGAAAGAAGCAACCTCTTAAAGTGTGAGTAGCCGGGAAGTTTCATTCACCATCCACCAACTTCATATCTCATCTCTGTTAACACCACACTCAACCTCGATATTGTCCACTTACTTGTTCTGTAGCAAACTAGCACTTCTTCGCAGACGTAATGAGTCAAACGAATGTAGTTGTCTGGTATTACTTTACTATAACTCATATTATAAGTAGAATGAGGACAAGTCATGAAGAAGCAGCTTCATCAAACATATTCAAAACAAACGAATTGTTATCAGATTTCTTGATACTGCTTAGAAAATTGTATTTCATCACGATGATATTAAGGTTTAGGGACTATCAGGTAGGAGGAAAAACTCTAAGAATTTATGATTGAAGTTAGAACTCTATGCAAAAGAAAGGTGAGTGATAATGCAGATGACAGAGATATTTTACAAGCACCACTTTGTAGGAATGACTTCAGATGGAAGTTGTTCACAATTTCTCACACATACCTTATGGTAGCAGGTAAGTGTACCAGGTAGTAAGCAACACCCCTTTGGTATACTAGTTAGGCATAATACCAGGTTGGATAAACCTGGATGAAGTTCGAACCCATGACCCATTGATTTTAAGTCGAGTACATAAACCAATATTTAACAGCTCTACAATGTCAAATACAGTGTGTTGTCAAGGTAATAAATAATCATATGCAAGCAGACAGACAAAATCAACACAGAGACTCGTAAACAAGTGTATCAGTTGAAGTTCCCATACTTTACAGTAGTATACAAAAAACAAGTTGATAGAAAAAGTGATGTCAAAGTAGACAAATTTTTGTCAGAAAATAAATAGTGCCAATATTTAGGTATTAGAAGATATCAAGAAGTGACTACATCGGTGTTATTGTCACAGATTTTTA